AAGAAACACTACGATTGTTGGCCTTTGATAAGTATGGCGGTGTTCTAACACTTGGCGGAGGGTGAAGATATGATCAATACATCCTCGACCAGAACGAAACCCAGCCTGCTCCTCGCGAGTCAATCCTTCTCGGGTTCTGAACAACCTACGAAGTATGACGGAAGCCAATAGCTTGGACGCAATTGGAAGTAGACTTATCCCCCGGTAGTTGTTACCGGAACAACGTGAACCCTTTTTAAAGATAGCGACAACTATCGACTCATTCCATGACGTTGGTACGCTCTCCAGTTCCCAGACTTTCGTAAACAACACAATCAGTTACTTAGTCAGAAAGTCACCACCATCTTTGAGAAGAGCCGGAGGTAAGTCATCTGGGCCCGGTGATTTGTAACGTTTCAAGAGTTGGAGTTCCTTGCGGACTTCCGCCTCATTTGGTGGATCAGTCGTCACCGGCCATGGAGGGCAGGACAGTCTGACCGATGTTGCCGGAGCAGCAGGCCAGTTGAACTGCCCTTCAAAGAATTCTGCCCATCGTCCAAGACGTCGATTAATGTTAGTGATTGGTGTTCCGTCATCCTCGCAGATTGTTTCGCTCACACCAAACTTCTTGCTGCCAGTGGCTCGGATGAGTTGGAAGAGCTTCCGGTAATTACCAGATGCAGCTGCTGCTTCCAACTCACTGGCACGCTCCGACCACCAGGCTTCTCGGTCCTTACGCAAGCTTTGCCCGATTTCATTACGTAACATCCTTCGTCTGTGGTCAAACCCACGGTCACCCGGAGTAGACCGACGGGCTTCAATCAGTTGTAAGGAACCAGAAGAAACCCAGTGCTTGTAAGCGGGACGTTTCGCGAACCCACAACAGACTGTACCCGCCATTTTCATGGCGTCATGCAATTGCAACCAATGCTCATCTATACTTTTCGGTGGAATGGTAGCTAGCCTAGAAGCTAGCTCGGTTCGGTACCTACTAGCAACAGAAGTTGCAGCCAGCTTGCTAACATCAATCCTTTGGTGGCGGTCACTTCGTTGTCCACTGAAAAGTAAGGTAAGATTGGCGCAGACCAGAGCATGATCAGATTCCAGATAGGTACTCCAAAAGGAGCGGCAGTCTTGTACACAACCGCGCCAGCGGTAGCTGATCGCGATGTGATCAATCTGAGTCCAGGCTTGAGATGCAGAAGGGGGACGCCAGGTGGCACATCGGCGATGACTGTGCCGAAAGTTAGTGCTAGCCAGAAACAGGTTGTGATCTGTGCATAGTTGCAGTAGACGTTCCCCGTTATCTGTCCTGCGACCAACGAGTCCCCATCGGCCACCTAAACGACTCTCTTCTGTGCCTAGACGTCCGACCTGAGCATTCAAGTCTCCAGCTAGTACTACAATATCTGTCGAACGCACTTTCTGGAGAAGAACAGTTAGCTGGTGGTAGAACTCGTCCTTGATTGCATCCGGGCTGCAATCTGTCGGGGCATAGGCGGAGATGACGAAAAGACATCGTTTCTCACGCCGATTTCTTCTCACTTTGATGGAACTTTCTAATCTAACAGCACATAACCGACTGTTAATGGGGATCCAGTCGACTAGTGCTGCCTCAGCTCTTGCGCTTAGCGCGACACCAACGCCAGCAAGACCAGACGCAGATGCCACAGGGTCCCCGGATAAACGCACATAAAACAAGCTTTTTGAAGTGACAGATGGAGAGCGAACTTGTAGTACTTCACCAGAGTCTTGAATACTGGTCTCGGATAGACAACACACATCAATATTAAGACTTTCCAAAGACATAGCCAGCCCTATCTGTTGTCCGACCTGCATAAGTGTGCGAACGTTGAAGGCAGCCAGTTTGAATGGTACACGTGGTTTCAGAAAAACTGCTTCAGTACTCATATTCGGTAGTAACATACAATTTTCAACCAGGCAGTGACTCGAGAACGTTTAGATAAAGCTGAATTTTCACCATAGGCGAGCTGCTGTCTGAGTCGAAGCGGATACAAAAAGTAGAAATAGGAGATAGTGAATAAATGACGTAGTAAATAATAATAATAATAATAGTAATAATAATAATACCAGTCATTTCAAGGTTTGTCGGAGAGAAATGAATATTTTCTATAAGCATATAGTTCATCATAGTTTTAGTGAGTGGGCTGGGATAATGCCCGGGTGCCCAGACCGAAGCAGGTGGTTTCTTAGGGGGCCACACCCCGAGTCATTGACCTAAAGGTCTAGTGCACAAGGCAGTGGAGCATCGTGAGGAGATGCAGTCCCATGGAAGCCGGTGACCAAAAGTTGGTTCATACGCCATTTGTTCCCGCAGTATACTGGAGCCCATGTGCACCATTATTTTGGGCTCCGGTTAAAGCGCCGGACGTTCGCTTTTCGTCCTCTCATTTTCGTAAACAACACCCCCACCACGAGAAGGCAGTGAGTAGGACTTCCCTGGCAGAGGCTGTATACGCGTGGCCGTGTGAGAGTATTTCGAGAGGGAGGGCGAACCCTCCCCGCTCTCGGCCATACCAGGGCATTTGGGGGCTTTTGCAACCTCAAGTGGTGTCCGTCAAATCTGTCCACTTTCTCCATTTTTGTTCAACTTCGTCATAGATCTACTGATGTAAATAACGCTCACATCGACTGAATTCTCAGGTATTGATCTCCTACCAGGAGGTTCACTTATTGACTTAGAATACGCAGATGACATAGTCCTGTTTGGTGAAGACGCTGATAAAATGCAGAGTCTTTTGGTAGCACTGAGCAACAATGCCAGAATGTTTGGGATGAGCTTCTCTCCCTCTAAATGCAAGTGGTTGCTTCAGGACTGGTCTGCGTCAACACCTGAACTAAGGATAGGGAGTGAAGTAGTCGAACGCGTCGACAACTTCACTTATCTTGGAAGTCTGATCAGCCCTAATGGGTTGGTGTCTGACGAAATCTCAGCACGGATTCGAAAAGCTCGTTTGGCCTTTGCCAACTTACGTCATCTATGGCGAAGGCGAGATATCCGTCTATCAATTAAGGGACGAGTATACTGAGCGGCAGTTCGTTCCGTTCTACTATACGGCTGCGAAACATGGCCTTTAAGAGTAGAAGATACTCGTAAGCTACAAGTATTTGACCACAAATGCCTTAGAAATATTGCTCGCATCTGTTGGGATCACCGGATAAGTAATAGTGAGGTTAGACGCAGGGTATTAGGAAATGGTGGTAAATCAGTTGATGAGGTTGTGAATCTCGATCGACTTAGATGGTTGGGCCACGTGTTGTGTATGCCTGAACACCGATGACCACGACGCGCAATGCTGACTAGTGTTGGGGATAATTGGAAGAAAGTTAGGGGCGGCCAAACCAAAACATGGCATCAGTGCTTGAAGTCACTAACTTCTGGTCTGAGCCATGTTGGTAGATGTATGGCCGAGAGTGGGGAGAGTCCGCTCTCCCTCTCAAAATGCTGTCACATGGGCAGGCGTATATAGCCTCTGCCAGGGAATTCCTACTCACTGCCTTATCGTGGCGTGACTATGGTAACCAACGGTTGGACTCTTGGTGACATGGCTTAGAATCGATCACAATGGAGTAGGTGTATATACTCTCTGTCTTCCTTTAAACTAAGAGAATAAAATCTCTTCATATATTTCTTTCTACAAACTAATTCTTTCTTCCTGCACTATCTCCTTATATGCAATCTTTCTTTTATATATTACCACCACTGAATTAACTACTTCTATGAATTCGGTGTTCATCTTGTTGTGCTAATGCGGTATGGCAACTTGGACCGATGTGTGTATGTGCCTGGTCCTACGTCGCAGCTGACTGACTGACAAGAGCTCTCCAATGTTCTCACCCAATTTATTCTGCTGCTATTTAGCCTCAATAACTGATTTACCTCCTTTGTTCTTGATTGGTCACTCTGGTCTAATATTTTTTCGCTTCAAGTTTCTTGGTTTTGTCATGTGGTTTTTTTATATTTCCTTCTCTCAGTTTTTTCTTCCTTAATTATCAGGTTTTCTACATATTCCCGTTTGTTGTCTTTAGTACTCTTATGTACTCGTTTGTTGTTTCTGTACACTCACGGTGTGCCTTGTTTTTTTCTGCTACCGTTTGACTATTGTTGACTTTCGCCTTCATATTTTGCTTTTCTCAAATTTCTTCCAGGCTGTTTATGGAAGTTCATTCTTCATGTTGATGGACCTTGTGGCTCAGCACCTCCTGGCATTGATTCTTTAATTCCTTTCCAGTTGTTCTCCATAGTGATTTCCTTGTCTTTAATTTTAGTTTGTAAGGCTTGGGACATATGTCTGAGAGCTATGTTGAATTCGTTGAGTTTGTCGATATCTCAAAGGATGACTGTACTAAATTTTTGTAGTGCTGCTCGCCCATGTTTCCAAATTACTTTAGCTTCAGTTTCAACTTAGAAACCTTCATGCGGATAATTTGAAGCCGTATCATTCCATAGTTCTTATGTCTTCCATGAACCTGAATTTCTTTTATTTTTGGTTACGTGATCCATCAGGTTCTCTGCAGTGTTGTCCAGTGAAACCCATATAGATGTGTATGCACTTTTGAAGCTAAACACTACAACTTGTGACCGTGTTGTTAAAAGCATATAAATTCGTCAGACTTGCACCGTTTTCATCTCTTCTAGTTCATGTCGCTCAGTTGAGTTCGAACCCGGCGTCATTCATCTCGACCTTGGCGTTCAGACCGCCATCAAAATGATCAAGTGTTTTCTCAAACATTTCTATAAGATGAACTCCAGTCTCTCATAAAGCCAGTCTTCATAATCTTTAATCCTGTCGTTTGCGTAGCAGTGGGTGAAATTCGTACCAATCCTTTCCTTCTCTGTTTTAAAGAACGCTTTGATGATCCTGGATCTGTCCGTTTCTCACCCTATAGGCCCTTTTTGTGCTTTTTTGGACAGTACTGTGAATGTTTCTGTTCGCGATCGACTTTCTTCTTCGCGACCACAATAAATCTTTTTCATGAAGTTAGTTTTTCCTGTTAATCTTGGATATAGTGGGTTTCATTTATTCGAAGCAGTGGCAGGTTGTATCCTCTCATTTTTATCAGTATTTGAATGGCCCTCCCGGTATCCCACTTTCTCCGGATATTCCACATACGTATGTTAGTTGTTGCTCTGGCTATCAGAGTTGGTTTCCTATGGTTAAATCTTTTGTAGTAGGGTTCTTTATTTCGCATCCAACCCTCTACTCCAGTTTGGGAATATCAGTAACCGGCGAGGCTCTAGGATGTGTTACATTAGCAAACCCAGTAAAACGAGACATTTCAGTCTTCGCCCGTAAGTTATTTTGCCTAACTAGTCCAAACACTAATCAAACAAACAAGTAGTAAAGTACAAAATAAATAACTGACAAAGATTTTTTGTGTGGGAATCGGAATGCTTTTACAATTGAAGTTGGAAAAGTTAATGACCATATTGTTAGACATTCGGGAAGTTGACCTTATGAAGGAAAACACTTCAAAATCTTCCGTCCTGCGTTTAAAATCCTCTCATTTCACATCTTTGGAACTCGAATAGGTGTTTAATATAAGATGACGTGTAAGGATGGCGAGACCTGATTTATGGACTAATCTCACAATCTTAAAGATAGCCGTGCAGAGATGAAATCATAGACAAAGTTCATTTGATAGGTAGATAGTGGTATGTTTGAATCCACTACTTAGTATTTAAAAGTAGAATCATTAAACATATGAACTACAACTATACACAGTTGTATTGGATCATATGTACTTTTCTGTATCTTAGTAGTTTACATTCTTATCTTTTAACAATTCGGGATCAGATTTCATCGTATCTATTGTCAAACTGTCTCGGGAACCTGCGTTTGGAGTGTTTGCTTTTCATGTGTTTCGATCTTAAATGCCCAAAATGTCTCGCCATGTGCAATACTAGTTTTTTTGACTTTATGAGTGTGTTTGTGTCGAATACATAACACAGTGGTGTTACTTCGATCGGTAAATATTGCCCAGTTTACTCGGTATACTCAATTCAGCATTACAGCACATCTGGGTACCAATTTGCATAGTTGATAGATCCAGATGTAATGATATCTCCACATCTATATTTTCCCTTTCTTTGTAGATATAGTGCGAATTTGTGTTTCTCAGTATTCATTTTACTCTACAGGTGTTCACTGTATCATTATTTCCTTTTTTTTTAAGTAATGAAGATGACCTTACTCAAATGTATCAGTGGATATTAGCTCAGGCAGCAACAATTGAAGAGGATATCGGGGAGGCGGATCAAATCGCGTGCCTGGATAACTTACACGCTGAATTTGCACGGCTAATTAATTCACAACAATCAGGTTTGCCTCCTGTTCAAGATCATAAGTTTATGCGTGGTTTACTTCAAAGGCTAGCTGGTAAACATGGTCGATTTCGTGGTAGCCTATTGGGTAAACGAACGAATTTTACTGCCAGAACTGTTATTTCACCAGATCCAAATATGCGAATTGATGAGGTTCGCTTATTTTCTACACTTTTTTAAACCTTTACTTCAGGTGGTAGTTGTTTTCAATCCGTCAAAAAGTAGCCGAACCATTTGTTACTTTTCTAGTTCGTGTTTTCATCTTTTTACATAATTGGTCCCTCACTGAAGTGACAAATTTTCCGCTAAACGTTACATTTAGGCATCTCTAAACGCATTACTCACCATCGAGATATGCCAGTGAGTATAATTAACGGAATAACATCAACCATATTGATATCACAGATCGTTTTATTAAAAACAAATCTAAGTAAATTGCACACTTTACATTTTCCTTAAAAGTACTATTATGGTTCAGGTAATTGTTCAGAATTAGGGACTCCGGGCACTAGTTTTCCTAAAGTAACTTACCCAGGTATACAAACGATAAACAATATCTCTGGATATATTTTCAAATATCCCAACTGAGATCCAACAATTTTGACAATCGATTTTCGACAGTTAGTTTTCAAACGTAAACATAATTTTAATTTGAGCAACTAGATATTAGCATTAACTTCCAAATTGAATGGGTACATAAATCAAGTAGACTATCGGATTGAGTAATGTTAATGGTATCTAAATTACTTTTATTTAACAATATATTTTTTTCTTTCTATCCGAACGTGGTGTGATAAACTTAAATTTTAGCTGATTTTTTGCTTACATAGTAATTCAGAAAAACCATCTTTAGTCTTGACACGATATCAACATTTTTGATTTTTATCAGAAGAGGTTTTTGTGGATATTATAGTAATTTTATTCGTAGACAAGCAACATTAAATAAGACTGGTAATATGTGCCGAATCACATGATTTCAAAAGTTAATTAATTTCTTTCATTTTATAGCTACTAGGGACTACAATATCCCTTAAATTTTTGAAGGCATATCTAGTTTTGATGAGGACTGTGTAGTGTGCTGTGTTTTGCATTTGTGGCAAATAGCACTCATTTCCCAACCAGTGCGTCATAATTTTGAACTCGATTAATGCGATAGATCGCATAAACGTGTGCCTACTCAAGTTGCTACTCTCCACAACAATACGAAAATAGGCCTGATAGCAGAAGCAGACTAGCGAGGATAGTGATACTAGCAGCAATGGACGACTGTACATATCAAAAGGGATAAGTAAAATTGTGAGAAGTATTATTTATTTTATTTATTTTAACACACAGATATCGGTACAAGAAGGCACCAAATACATATGCGCCACACAGATCTCATTGGATATGTGTGAGGGCTGTGATACTGCCCGGGTGCCCAAACCGAAGCAGGTATAGAATAGAAATATTTTCGAGGTTTAGAAAGACAGAAATAACTAGTATTGAAGTTGGTGCTGCTGATTTTCAGCAATATTACCTACGCTTTCCCACCATTAATTACCATTATCTCAATTTAATCCCACTCATTTTGGTCCGAACAACTCTTCTTTCACAGAACAGTCATAGCCAGATACAGAACATCTTTTTACAGTGTTTATTGCTTTATGAGAACATCCAGATCAGGAGTAGATTCACATAAATGTGTAATTGTTATTTGAAATCTGTGAACTAGAGAATGCGTATACTATACTTTTCAGGTATGTATTCCAGTCCATTGTGCAAAATTGCTAACATATCCTGAACGTGTGACTGATTTCAATCTTAATTTTCTCCGATCTCTTGTACTGAATGGGCCAAATAACTATCCTGGAGCTATGTTTGTTAGTTATAAACTACGTGGTGAGAGGAAACGTCAAGCCGAAGCATCTGGTACTTCTGATGTAGTAAAACGTTTCTTGGCATCTGAACGTGCACGTGAAGACGTGGCAAAATATTTACAATCAGGTGATATAGTTGAAAGACACTTATTGGATGATGATATTGTACTATTTAACCGTCAACCCTCACTACATCGTGTATCTATTCAAGCATTCAGAGTAAGTAGTCATTGTTATACTTTGTACTTATCTCAGATAACAAAGTTATGATAAAATGCAGTCTTTTGGTAGCACTGAGCAACAATGCCAGAATGTTTGGGATGAGCTTCTCTCCCTCTAAATTCAAGTGGTTGCTTCAGGACTGGTCTGCGTCAACACCTGAACTAAGGATAGGGAGTGAAGTAGTCGAACGCGTCGACAACTTCACTTATCTTGGAAGTCTGATCAGCCCTAATGGGTTGGTGTCTGACGAAATCTCAGCACGGATTCGAAAAGCTCGTTTGGCCTTTGCCAACTTACGTCATCTATGGCGAAGGCGAGATATCCGTCTATCAATTAAGGGACGAGTATACTGAGCGGCAGTTCGTTCCGTTCTACTATACGGCTGCGAAACATGGCCTTTAAGAGTAGAAGATACTCGTAAGCTACAAGTATTTGCCCCCAAATGCCCTGGTATGGCCGAGAGCGGGGAGGGTTCGCCCTCCCTCTCGAAATACTCTCACACGGCCACGCGTATACAGCCTCTGCCAGGGAAGTCCTACTCACTGCCTTCTCGTGGTGGGGGTGTTGTTTACGAAAATGAGAGGACTAAAAGCGAACGTCCGGCGCTTTAACCGGAGCCCAAAATAATGGTGCACATGGGCTCCAGTATCCTGCGGGAACAAATGGCGTATGAACTAACTTTTGGTCACCGGCTTCCATGGGACTGCATCTCCTCACGATGCTCCACTGCCTTGTGCACTAGACCTTTAGGTCAATCGCTCGAGGTGTGGCCCCCTAAGAAACCACCTGCTTCGGTCTGGGCACCCGGGCATTATCCCAGCCCACTCACTAAAACTATGATGAACTATATGCTTATAGAAAATATTCATTTCTCTCCGACTAACCTTGAAATGACTGGTATTATTATTATTACTATTATTATTATTATTATTATTATTATTATTATTATTATTATTTACTACGTCATTTATTCACTATCTCCTATTTCTACTTTTTGTATCCGCTTCGACTCAGACAGCAGCTCGCCTATGGTGAAAATTCAGCTTTATCTAAACGTTCTCGAGTCACTGCCTGGTTGAAAATTGTATGTTACTACCGAATATGAGTACTGAAGCAGTTTTTCTGAAACCACGTGTACCATTCAAACTGGCTGCCTTCAACGTTCGCACACTTATGCAGGTCGGACAACAGATAGGGCTGGCTATGTCTTTGGAAAGTCTTAATATTGATGTGTGTTGTCTATCCGAGACCAGTATTCAAGACTCTGGTGAAGTACTACAAGTTCGCTCTCCATCTGTCACTTCAAAAAGCTTGTTTTATGTGCGTTTATCCGGGGACCCTGTGGCATCTGCGTCTGGTCTTGCTGGCGTTGGTGTCGCGCTAAGCGCAAGAGCTGAGGCAGCACTAGTCGACTGGATCCCCATTAACAGTCGGTTATGTGCTGTTAGATTAGAAAGTTCCATCAAAGTGAGAAGAAATCGGCGTGAGAAACGATGTCTTTTCGTCATCTCCGCCTATGCCCCGACAGATTGCAGCCCGGATGCAATCAAGGACGAGTTCTACCACCAGCTAACTGTTCTTCTCCAGAAAGTGCGTTCGACAGATATTGTAGTACTAGCTGGAGACTTGAATGCTCAGGTCGGACGTCTAGGCACAGAAGAGAGTCGTTTAGGTGGCCGATGGGGACTCGTTGGTCGCAGGACAGATAACGGGGAACGTCTACTGCAACTATGCACAGACCACAACCTGTTTCTGGCTAGCACTAACTTTCGGCACAGTCATCGCCGATGTGCCACCTGGCGTCCCCCTTCTGCATCTCAAGCCTGGACTCAGATTGATCACATCGCGATCAGCTACCGCTGGCGCGGTTGTGTACAAGACTGCCGCTCCTTTTGGAGTACCTATCTGGAATCTGATCATGCTCTGGTCTGCGCCAATCTTACCTTACTTTTCAGTGGACAACGAAGTGACCGCCACCAAAGGATTGATGTTAGCAAGCTGGCTGCAACTTCTGTTGCTAGTAGGTACCGAACCGAGCTAGCTTCTAGGCTAGCTACCATTCCACCGAAAAGTATAGATGAGCATTGGTTGCAATTGCATGACGCCATGAAAATGGCGGGTACAGTCTGTTGTGGGTTCGCGAAACGTCCCGCTTACAAGCACTGGGTTTCTTCTGGTTCCTTACAACTGATTGAAGCCCGTCGGTCTACTCCGGGTGACCGTGGGTTTGACCACAGACGAAGGATGTTACGTAATGAAATCGGGCAAAGCTTGCGTAAGGACCGAGAAGCCTGGTGGTCGGAGCGTGCCAGTGAGTTGGAAGCAGCAGCTGCATCTGGTAATTACCGGAAGCTCTTCCAACTCATCCGAGCCACTGGCAGCAAGAAGTTTGGTGTGAGCGAAACAATCTGCGAGGATGACGGAACACCAATCACTAACATCCATCGACGTCTTGGACGATGGGCAGAATTCTTTGAAGGGCAGTTCAACTGGCCTGCTGCTCCGGCAACATCGGTCAGACTGTCCTGCCCTCCATGGCCGGTGACGACTGATCCACCAAATGAGGCGGAAGTCCGCAAGGAACTCCAACTCTTGAAACGTTACGAATGTCGTCCCAGAGAATTCCACGTCGTGCATTATTTGCCGACTCTGGGACTGGTTGGAAAAAGCGGAGAGGTGGTCAGTATATGACATGGTGTCGTGGTATGAAAGAAAGCTGCAAAGGGCTAGTTTCTGTTGGTCCTTCACGACTCCCTGGTTGGGGTCCGAGAGACGGTGTAACGCAGTGGCTAGAGACGTTATCAGATATGGCTCAGAATAGAAGCCAGTGGCGATCGTGCTGTAACCTTCTTTTACTTTCTTCATAAAAAGTGATTGTATCTTCCTTAACTGAAAGATCTCTTCTGATTGTACCTTTCCGTTTCCCCCACCATTGTTCTCTCTCTCTTCCTTTTTTTTTATAATTCCCCACGTCCATTACTTTTTTTTTCTCTTTTCTCCTTCTCTTCAAATTATCATTGTTTTGTGTGGCGCATATATATTTGGTGCCCCCCTGTACCAATATTTATGTGTTCAAATAAATAAATAAATAAATAAATAAATAAAATACAAGTATTTGACCACAAATGCCTTAGAAATATTGCTCGCATCTGTTGGGATCACCGGATAAGTAATAGTGAGGTTAGACGCAGGGTATTAGGAAATGGTGGTAAATCAGTTGATGAGGTTGTGAATCTCGATCGACTTAGATGGTTGGGCCACGTGTTGTGTATGCCTGAACACCGATGACCACGACGCGCAATGCTGACTAGTGTTGGGGATAATTGGAAGAAAGTTAGGGGCGGCCAAACCAAAACATGGCATCAGTGCTTGAAGTCACTAACTTCTGGTCTGAGCCATGTTGGTAGATGTGGACTACTTGGTTGGGGTCCGCGTGACTATGGTAACCAATGGTTGGACTCTTGGTGACATGGCTTAGAATCGATCACAATGGTGTAGGTGTATACACTATCTGTTTTCCTTTAAACTAAGAGATTAAAATCACTTCAAATATTTCTTTCTAGGAACTAATTCTTTCTTCCTGTACTATCTCCTTATACACACTCTTTCTTCTATATATTACTACCATTGAAGTAAATACTTCTATGAATTTGGTGTTCATCTTGTGCTAATGAGGTGTAGCCACTTGGACCGATGCATATATGTGCCTGGTCCTACTTTGTAGCTGACTGATTTCTCGAACTCGTCACTCAGTAATACCTATGTTCTGACTTCAACTAACTTAAATATGAGATTCACCAATTCGATTTGGTTAAATTTCAGTAACTTTTAATGCCTCTACTGGAACCAGAGCTAAACATAGCACTTTGAACGTTGAAATGTAAATCTTTGGGCTACTGGTTCACGATAACCACTTATTAGAAGCTTACATGTGATAATTAACCAGGAACTGCCTACTATTACTTTTGTTCATGATGTGATTGAAATATAGCAATTTTGTTATAATGTTTTTTTTCTGATCATTTTGTTACTTCATTGATTAAATTTTCTGTTTGGTTGCATTATGAGTTAATTTTTTCGCTGATTATCTTCAGGCGGTTGTAAAACCTTTTCGAACTTTTCGTTTCAATCCGTGCTGTTGTACACCATTTAATGCAGATTTCGATGGGGATGAAATGAATATACATCTTCCACAAACTGAAGCAGCTCGTGCAGAAGCAAAACATCTTATGCTGGTATGTTGGTATCTTTTGCATTATTATCAATTTCTGTACTCATTGGGATATTACAAATATATATATTTATTATTATTATTATTATACCATACTGATGTGTTGATAACTTGCAATCCATTCTGAATAAGTTTGTAAAAACCAAACACATAAATAATCAAGTTTAGCTTCATGTACTTGATTATAAGCTGAACTCTCTATCATAGGGTTAGTGATACTGCTTAGCTGTCAAGTTTGATATAGATAACGCAGGGTTCAAATACTCAGCCAAATAGTTGAAAGCCGAGTATTATGATCACAAAGTTTCTGTCCTACTTAATCTCTTCTAATCTCGACTGACTGATGTATTATTTTCTTTTTTATAGTGACACATGTTGATTATTACATTATTCTTACTGTTGAAATCACGAGTCAGTTTAAGCTAGACTGTCATCGATAACATGGAAGCACTGGACAGCCATTCGGTTCTAGTATGGGACCTTTCAGCAGTGCGCATACACGATCCCGCACTTGAGACTCGGACCCAGAACCTACGGTCTTACACATGAACGCTTAACTTCTAGATCACTGAGCTGAAATCCAACGGTGTTAATGTCTAATTTCATTCGAGTCCTGCGTGCTGGATCGTGAATGAGCACTTTGAGGAGTATTTATTTTATTTATTTTAACACATAGATATTGATACAAGAAGGCACCAAATACATATGCGCCACACGAATCTCAATTGATATGTGTGAGGGCTGTGATACTGCCCGGGTGCCCAAACCGAAGCAGATGGTTTTCTTAGGGGGCCACACCTCGAGCCTTCGACCTGAACGTCTGACCCACAAGGCAGTGGAGCATCGTGGGGAGATGCAGTCCCATGGTAGCCGGTGACCAACGATTGGTTCATACACCATTTGTTCCTTCAGGATACTGGAGCCCATGTGCACCATTGTTTTGGGGTCCGGTTAAAGCGCCGGACATTCGCTTTTCGTCCTCTCATTTTCGTAAACAACACCCCCACCACGAGAAGGCAGTGAGTAGGACTTCCCTGGCAGAGGCTATATACGTATGGCCATGTGAGAGCATTTCGAGAGGGAGAGCTGACTCTTCCCACTCTCGGCCGTACCAGGGCATTTAGGGGAGTCCCATACTTGGACCAAACAACCATCCAGTGTTCCAAGTTTCCAGTGAAAGCAAAAGAGATGGAAAAGGCGGCGGCTATAGGGAACACAAGACAACTCTACAGACTCATAAAAGAAACTGGAATTAATAAATCAAGTGTAAGTCAGACTTTTTCGGAAAAAGACCACACTCTCATCTGCTCCCAGTCCAGACGTTTAGAACGATGGGCGGAACATTTTAAGGAGCAGTTCAGTTGGCCTTCAGCTACTCTACAACTACCACCCATTCCCAGACAGTATGAATGGAACATTGAGGTAGGTCCCCCATCTCTAGCTGAAGTTCAAAAGGCTATAGCTAATCTGAAACGAGGAAGAGCAGCTGGTCCAGATGGATTGGCTCCAGAGGTCTTTAAGGATGGTGGTCTAGTTTTAGCGATTAGGTTGACTAATATTTTAGTTAAAATCTGGGAGTTGGACGTTATCCCATCTAACTGGTCACAATCACTTATCGTCCCAATATTTAAGAAAGGGTAAAATCATCCTGTGACAACCACAGAGGGATTAGTTTGACTAATATAGTATCTAAAATACAAGCCTTGATTATTATCGGACACCTAACTAAGACTCGTGAACTGCAAACACGACTAATTCAGGCTGGTTTCAAATCTGGTCGTGGATGCATCGACCACATATTCACCATTCGTCAGGTTCTAGAACACAGGCATACTCATCGGCGTCCGACAATGGTGATCTTCCTTGGCTTAAAAGCAGCATTTGACTCCGTAGACTGCGAGATTCCGTGGCAGTGTCTGTCATTGAAAGGTGTACCTCAGAAGTACATAAACCTTGTGAAGGCTCTTTACTCGAACACTACTAGTCGAGTCAGAGCTTATGACGAACTGTCATCCGCTTTTGCAACCTCAAGTGGTGTCCGTCAAATCTGTCCACTTTCTCCATTTTTGTTCAACTTCATCATAGATCTACTGATGTAAATAACGCTCTCATCGACTGAATTCTCAAGTATTGATCTCCTACCAGGAGGTCCACTTATTGACTTAGAATACGCAGATGACATAGTCCTGTTTGGTGAAGACGCTGATAAAATGCAGTCTTTTGGTAGCACTGAGCAACAATGCCAGAATGTTTGGGATGAGCTTCTCTCCCTCTAAATTCAAGTGGTTGCTTCAGGACTGGTCTGCGTCAACACCTGAACTAAGGATAGGGAGTGAAGTAGTCGAACGCGTCGACAACTTCACTTATCTTGGAAGTCTGATCAGCCCTAATGGGTTGGTGTCTGACGAAATCTCAGCACGGATTCGAAAAGCTCGTTTGGCCTTTGCCAACTTACGTCATCTATGGCGAAGGCGAGATATCCGTCTATCAATTAAGGGACGAGTATACTGAGCGGCAGTTCGTTCCGTTCTACTATACGGCTGCGAAACATGGCCTTTAAGAGTAGAAGATACTCGTAAGCTACAAGTATTTGACCACAAATGCCTTAGAAATATTGCTCGCATCTGTTGGGATCACCGGATAAGTAATAGTGAGGTTAGACGCAGGGTATTAGGAAATGGTGGTAAATCAGTTGATGAGGTTGTGAATCTCGATCGACTTAGATGGTTGGGCCACGTGTTGTGTATGCCTGAACACCGATGACCACGACGCGCAATGCTGACTAGTGTTGGGGATAATTGGAAGAAAGTTAGGGGCGGCCAAACCAAAACATGGCATCAGTGCTTGAAGTCACTAACTTCTGGTCTGAGCCATGTTGGTAGATGTGGACTACTTGGTTGGGGTCCGCGTGACTATGGTAACCAATGGTTGGACTCTTGGTGACATGGCTTAGAATCGATCACAATGGTGTAGGTGTATACACTATCTGTTTTCCTTTAAACTAAGAGATTAAAATCACTTCAAATATTTCTTTCTAGGAACTAATTCTTTCTTCCTGTACTATCTCCTTATACACACTCTTTCTTCTATATATTACTACCATTGAAGTAAATACTTCTATGAATTTGGTGTTCATCTTGTGCTAATGAGGTGTAGCCACTTGGACCGATGCATATATGTGCCTGGTCCTACGTTGCAGCTGACTGACTGACTTAGATATACTCTTGATTGTAACAGTGAAAATGCAGCAGTCTCCACAAGTTCTCCATACTGATGACATCATTAGTTTAACAAAGATCATAATTGCTCATCTACTTTATTCTAGGTATTCATACTTTTACGTTTGATTTATGATTTAGCTATTACCAAGAGATAATTCTTGACCTTGGTATCATGACTTCAGATACATCCTAAAAAAAGCTTATAAAAGCAAGTTCAGAAACATTAGTCCTCAAATAAGCTGATTTAATTAAATTTATGAGAGGTCTAGCATTACTACCCGCCTGAAAAATTTGGAATAGGTGAAGTGAAATTCGAATGTGATATTTAACAGTTAGAAGCGAAGCTTTTTTAACCACTAAGTCACTTAAATAAGTGATTGCTTAACCAATACCCAAACGTTTTTCTTATTTTTCTTAGTGTATCATAATTCAGTAATGAGAATTGTGACAGTTTTATAATCATAAATAATTACATGATTAAGGTCAACTTGGATGATTGTAAGTTTTAAACTAATAGTTTTCAGTTTGCAAAGTGCCAGTTTTAACTTCTTCAATCCATATCTTTCAGTTAGATTTTATTAAATTACAAACTCCCCACTATTTGCTATTTGACATTGATGAATTATCGTCTTTAACTTGATTGCCTATTGTAAAAACTGCCTCGAAATTTAACATAGAAACCGCATTACATTTCTTATGTGAGAGATGAGGTGCTCTACGTAGTATAAGTAAGTTAAATGATTGGGAGCGATTGGATTTAAAGTAAGTCTCTGAGTTGAATCATCAACTCACTAACCGAACAGATAGCCTATTGTGTTGATTGACTTTCTGAGATTAGTGAAAGTGTTCTACTATGATCGGAATATATGGCAATCGCTAACTTATCTTATTTACCAACAATTATTCTGTTCATGTCATATCCTACCTTTGTTTTTATGTATCAAAATGTTCTTCAGTCATAGCTTATGCAATAGACTAAGAATATCTCACAATCAACTATTTTACGATTGTAGTATAGTTGATTATGTATTTTAACACAAAAGATCTTGATGTAATGAGATAATGAAAATTATGCCATACAAAATTAGAAGTTAATTGTTGTGTAAATAAAACGAGAAATTAATATAACAATTACAGTATTAACTATAATAAAAATATTAAGGACAGTAGTTAGTTTAATCTCCCTTTCATGTATCGATATTAAATGTGATAACTGGAGCTGATACTCAGGTTACATATCCTTTTTACTTGTCCGTTTACCCCTTTAGTTTCACTGTAACTATCGACAATTTAAAAATGAAGTACTTTATAATGCGCAACCTAATTTGAGTTGAAAGGAATTCACTCTGAACTATTTGTTCTGTATTCTGCATATATAAATACTAGTCACAGTTCATTTATAACTTCTTTCATTAAAGTATCATATTGAATTTTCTTGTTCTTTGACATTTTCATTGACAGTCTCTCAAGAATATTGTTAGCCCTAAAAATGGTGAACCGTTAATTTCACCAATTCAAGACCTAATCACTGCAACACATTTGTTGACCGTGAAAGACGTTTTCCTTAATCGTGATCAGGCATGTACTTTAGCCGCTCAACTATTAGCTGGTAACCATTTGGGTCGACTTTTAAGTTTACCGAAACCGGCTATATTATGGGTAAGCTGGCCAGACCACATTAAATACAATATTTTTTTCTTTTATCTTAAAGTTTGTTTAATGTGAATATATAAATTCAATTATTTAATAACTGATAAGTTTTATTCACTTGATTTAGATAACATTTATTCATGACTTCACCATTAAACACCTTTAAAAACATTGTATTTTCAAAAGTTGATAATCAAGTATGATTTTGTGTGGTCAGCTTTGAACTACACCTTTTATATTAGGACTAATGATACTACCTAACTATTGAAACTAAAGTGTGGACGGCATAATCTGAACTTGAAACCCGATTCCTTAAAGTAGAGTCCTTTAATTACTGAACCAATATTTTGTGAAAATAGAAACAAAACATTAATAAATATCAAACGGCCTATTTAGCGCACTCGTATTTAGCTTAGGAGTTACTTGTTTAAGAAGAATGCATAGACGAAAATTTTTCAAGTAGTATTGTTCTCCAAATAAGTGCCTAATTTCTTATACATAAATCAAATTATATGATCTATTTTCAATAGACATTTTGCTCTAATGGTTATTTCTCAACTGTGTATTAAACTTATTTCAGCCTGTTGCTCTATGGACTGGTAAACAGATATTTGGTCTCATTCTTTCACCGCATCCATCCACTGGAATTAAGGTTAACCTTCGGGTACCAACAAAGTCTATGTATTCATCAAAAGGTTCAGAAATGTGTCCAAATGATGGTTGTAAGTAAAAATTCAGTCTGAATTTAACTTAAGATATTGAATAATATTGAATAATATCCTGATATTTAACACTAAAATATTTCGGCGATAATAGACTGGAGGTTATCATACCTCATTGATAACAGTGCAATTCATTAAAATTTATGTGGTAAACCTTTTCGCTTGATAGTCAAAAATGACTATTTGGGTGTTCAAACCGAGGTACCTAATGTACAGTTTGTTCACAGCACTCAGTTATTTAATACTTAAACTACCGAGTCACAATTCCATGACATCTTTAGAAAACCACACTTAATCTGGTTAATTAGTGAAAATGACTAAAAGAGGTTGTGAAGCAACTTTCATTGTTTTTTGCTCTGGACTATTCAGTCACCTTGTTTTTGACTGTATTTGAAATTTTGTCTTTGGATGAATCTAGAAACCCATATTTCATACAACTAAACATCAACCTGCAAAGTTATATCATAAACTGGCTATGTGTTTGCGTTATTAATGTTTGACGTTTCCAAATAGCATTTTAATGTATTAGGACTGCCATAATGTCAAACCCCATAGGAAAACAGTCTGGCCCAACCAGAATAATGGGAATAATGTTTACACACATTTTAATTTCGGATATATCAGTACGTATACTACGTTTGTGAAGTTAAGGTTTCCATTCCAACTACTTAACTCTCCTAATGGAGAATAGAACTAAAGATGCCACAGGTATTCGGAGTTTGACGACGCCTTTACAAGTAATACCTTTATAATCGAATTGTACCAGCCCAGCCAAATCAGAAGTCAAAAACGAAGTGGTTTGAAGTTTTATTTGGAAGGCTACCGATACGTTGAGAAACGTTTGATCTAAGCTGGCTAACAGTTGCAACGGATGCGTAGCTCGGCGCACCCAGTCGTGATCTCGTACAAATGTGTGACCTAGTGCTTTAAGCTAGGTGTGTTCGGTAACACTAATGAGGTCAGAATCAATGTCGAAGACTTAAGTAACTATTTATTTTGGGGATTTATTTACCGCTACAGAATTTTTCATGATTTTACTAGTCAAGGGATTCGTTTCATAATTGTTTGATCATAAAAGTGATTGCTATCCTACTTATCTTTGTTTGGAAGATCTGATAGTATTATCAATCCCCAGACAATAAGTGGTGTAGAGTATCATATATGAATCAATATTTATTTAATTAAGCCATATTTATCCCAATGATTATTATATTTCATCAATACTGCTCTCCTTGCCATTACAAGAAAATTTCATTGTGATGTATATTAAACGTTTTTCTGTATTTCAGTTGTTCTAATTCAAAATAGTGAACTCCTTGCGGGATGTGTAGATAAAAAGTTACTTGGAGGTGGAAGCAAGTCAAGCATATTCTACACATTACTTCGAGATTATGGTAGAGAATCTTGCGCGGATGCTATGTGGCGTTTAGGAAGAATTGCTTTGTTTTTCTTGGCACATCGGGGTTTTTCGATCGGACTTGGTGAAGTAATGCCCAGCCCAGATCTTGTTGCATCTAAAACAGCATTGATTAGTCGTGGGTAAGCTTAATTCACTTATCAATTCAAATTGTTTGTAGTTTCTTGTAAACTCCATTCATTCCCATAATATTATTCACCAAGTACAGTTTTTTGGTATTCAGCTTTAAGCCACACAGTTTATGTGAGGACTTGTGATACTACACAGCCGAAGCTAGGCACGAACATGCCACTTACTAGCTGAAAGTTGAGTTTTTTAACCAGTAAGCCACTGTTACATCAATGACACTGTAAACTATCCTCATAACAAATTCGTTCACGTTAAATTAAGAACACTTTTTTCCAAAATAACAACCGGTTTGAGACTTAGATTCCAGTAGTCATTACTATTTCTCCTAGATGGTTTTATAAGCATAATAATATGTGGTCAGTCAGTCAGTCAGTCAACTGCAACGTAGGACCAGGCACGTATATGCATCGGTCCAAGTTGCCATACGCATTAGCACAACAAGATGAACACCGGATTCATAGAAGTAGTTAATTCAGTGGTGGTAATATATAGAAGAAAGATTGCATATAAGGAGATAGTACAGGAAGATAGAATTAGTTTGTAGAACGAAATATATGAAGAGATTTTATTCTCTTAGTTTAAAGGAAGACAGAGAGTGTATACACCGACGCCATTGTGATCGATTCTGAGCTGTAAGATCCAGAGTCTCCAACTATTGGTTACGATAGTCACACGGACCCCAACCGAGTAGTCTGTACCTACCAACATGGCTCAGACTAGAAGTTAATGACTTAAAGGACTGATGCTGCGCCTTGGTTTGACCGCCCCTAACTTTCTTCCAATTATCCCCAACACTAGTCAGCATTGCGCGTCGTGGTCATCGGTGTTCAGGCATACACAACACGTGGCCCAACCATCTAAGTCGATCGAGATTCACAACCTCATCAACTGATTTACCACCATTTCCTAATACCCTGCGTCTAACCTCACTATTACTTATCCGGTGATCCCAACAGATGCGAGCAATATTTCTAAGGCATTTGTGGTCAAATACTTGTAGCTTACGAGTATCTTCTACTCTTAAAGGCCATGTTTCGCAGCCGTATAGTAGAACGGAACGAACTGCCGCTCAGTATACTCGTCCCTTAATTGATAGACGGATATCTCGCCTTCGCCATAGATGACGTAAGTTGGCAAAGGCCAAACGAGCTTTTCGAATCCGTGCTGAGATTTCGTCAGACACCAACCCATTAGGGCTGATCAGACTTCCAAGATAAGTGAAGTTGTCGACGCGTTCGACTACTTCACTCCCTATCCTTAGTTCAGGTGTTGACGCAGACCAGTCCTGAAGCAACCACTTGAATTTAGAGGGAGAGAAGCTCATCCCAAACATTCTGGCATTGTTGCTCAGTGCTACCAAAAGACTGCATTTTATCAGCGTCTTCACCAAACAGGACTATGTCATCTGCGTATTCTAAGTCAATAAGTGGACCTCCTGGTAGGAGATCAATACTTGAGAATTCAGTCGATGAGAGCGTTATTTACATCAGTAGATCTATGATGAAGTTGAACAAAAATGGAGAAAGTGGACAGATTTGACGGACACCACTTGAGGTTGCAAAAGCGGATGACAGTTCGTCATAAGCTCTGACTCGACTAGTAGTGTTCGAGTAAAGAGCCTTCACAAGGTTTATGTACTTCTGAGGTACACCTTTCAATGACAGACACTGCCACGGAATCTCGCAGTCTACGGAGTCAAATGCTGCTTTTAAGCCAAGGAAGATCACCATTGTCGGACGCCGATGAGTATGCCTGTGTTCTAGAACCTGACGAATGGTGAATATGTGGTCGATGCATCCACGACCAGATTTGAAACCAGCCTGAATTAGTCGTGTTTGCAGTTCACGAGTCTTAGTTAGGTGTCCGATAATAATCAAGGCTTGTATTTTAGATACTATATTAATCAAACTAATCCCTCTGTGGTTGTCACAGGATGATTTTACCCTTTCTTAAATATTGGGACGATAAGTGATTGTGACCAGTTAGATGGGATAACGTCCAACTCCCAGATTTTAACTAAAATATTAGTCAACCTAATCGCTAAAACTAGACCACCATCCTTAAAGACCTCTGGAGCCAATCCATCTGGACCAGCTGCTCTTCCTCGTTTCAGATTAGCTATAGCCTTTTGAACTTCAGCTAGAGATGGGGGACCTACCTCAATGTTCCATTCATACTGTCTGGGAATGGGTGGTAGTTGTAGAGTAGCTGAAGGCCAACTGAACTGCTCCTTAAAATGTTCCGCCCATCGTTCTAAACGTCTGGACTGGGAGCAGATGAGAGTGTGGTCTTTTTCCGAAAAAGTCTGACTTACACTTGATTTATTAATTCCAGTTTCTTTTATGAGTCTGTAGAGTTGTCTTGTGTTCCCTATAGCCGCCGCCTTTTCCATCTCTTTTGCTCTCGTTGCCCACCACTGCTCACGATCATTCCTTAGACTTTTGCTTAACCTAGATCTGATGTGCTTTCGCTCACTATCGTGTTCAGAGCCTGATGGGATGAGTTTATGAGAATCCATCACTGCAATAGACCTTGAAGAAATCCATTGATTCTTTGTAACCCTTTGGTTTAAATCACTAATATATGTCACTGCTGTTTTCACAGCTGTTCGTATATCTTTCCAAGCAACATCTTGGTCAGCCTCGTTTTCAGAACTACTTAAGTGTGACCTCAGTTGTTCCTGGAACCTACTTTTGGTTTTCTCATCACTCAATTCGGTTCTAATGAGTCTTTTTGTGTGGCTTTTTGCGTCCAGTGAGGCGCAAGCAGATGCGTGCTCGTATTAGAGCATGGTCGGAGTCCAAGCAGGTACTCCAGAATGAGCGACAATCTTCTATCGGGCCTCTCCAACGATGACTGATGGCAATATGGTCTATTCGGGTTCATTGTTGATTTGGTGGAGGGGGTCGCCATGTTAGACGATGTCTCTCCTTATGCTTAAAATTTGTGTTTGCTAAAAATAAACGATCGTCTGAGCACAGTTGCAGCAGACGATCACCATTATCTGTTCGCTGTGCCGGAATACTAAAATACCCACTTAAATATCTTTCTGTTTCGTTTAAGCTACCTACTTGGGCATTAAAGTCGCCTGCTACGAGTACTATGTCTGAACGTTTAGCTTTCTTAAGAAATTCAGAGAGTTTTCTGTAAAATTCATCTTTCACTTCATCCGAACTGCAGTCAGTGGGAGCGTAGGCAGAAACGACGAAACGGCAACGATGTGTTTCCCTATCGTTCCGAGTTCTTACGGAGCCGTTTAGCCAAACAGCGCATAGACGACTGTTTACGGGGATCCACTCTAATAGCGCTTGTTCCGCCCTCATGCTTAGTGCTATTCCTACATCTGGCAGTCCACGAAAACTAGTCGTCGGGTCGCCAGATACACGGAGGGTATATCTTTTCGGATCTCCGTTTTGCCGAGGTGAGGTCAAGTGAATGACCACACTAGGATCCTGTATGCGTGTTTCGGAGACACAGCATACATCAATCGTACGAGATTCTAAGGTTTTAGCCAAGGAAGCCTGCTGACCGACTTGACATAGTGTGTGTACGTTGAAGGCTCCAATGTGTAGTTTGAAGCGAGGTTTCAGTAGACCTGGGACAGTGTTTTGCGCACTCGAATCGTTGGCTGTGGTGACACTTGAGGAGGAAGCTAAAAGAGGGAGTTTAGATTTGAAAGTCGATGTAGGAGGAATAATAGGAATCGAAGAGGGAGGTTGATTATGAATACAGTGGTCTTGAGTGCTGTTAGAGGTATGAGAGCGGTTATCACTTCCCGGTCACCCACACCGTGGAAGGGTTCTGCTGGAGTTACCTGAAAATGAAGTTGGATTAGAGGTGGTCATAGTGACCTGAGAGCGTGACCCCAGTGCCCAAGAGAAAGCTGCTTAAGGTCGGTTACACATGACCTTTTAATGAGTAGTCTTTGTGTTAGCTCCGTACTTGTTGAGACCTTACCGCCGGAAACGGATATCCGTGGGATAAGGCGAGGTGTGCATTTTTAGGGTCGACCTTTTCTAACCCCACCTCTCCTTGTGGGAAGGCAGCATCGCTGTTATGCTGGTTGTCTGAAGGAAACACCTTACTGCTGTCACACCTCTCTACAGTCAGCAGTACGACTTCGCCTTCGGACCTTGGGTTTGTTGCTCTTCAACCAACCTGTCTGGCATGGTAAGACCTTGAGGAACGGTTGTTTCAGCCAGTATAGCTCAGTTGCTTCATCACGAAAGGCAAGTCCGACCGCCACGTCAAGGTAGCAACAACGGTTTTGTGATGTTTCGTGACTCAGTGTAAGCCAAGTTTAAATAGTACCTATTACTATTTTGGTTATTTATTCTCTGAAGAAGTGGCTTACATTGACTCACGAAACGTCAGAAAATCTAATTTTTCTACTCATCGGGATATTACAAATGTATTATTATAACAATCTACCTAATGCTCAATTTCTTTGAAATCATCAAGTCAAACCTTGGTAATGATACCTATGTGGTAGGATTGTTCTGGTGAACAAGTTCGGTAGCATCTACTAACATATCTGATGGTTGGTGTTGATAAAATGAAGAATAGGTATAATTCTACCATGGACTGTCTCATTTCTGTAAATTTAGTCTAATAATTTAAGTGATATTATCATACAACTTATGACTAATTCCGCACGCTACATGTACATAACGCAGTTAATTTCTCAAGTTAACCATAAATAAAACCATTTTGATAACTGCCGATTTTTGCATTTCAGATTTGCCACCTGTGACGATTATATCAATCAATATCAGATGAATACACTAGTCTGTAATCCAGGATGTAGTATGGAGGATACGCTTGAAGTAAATTATTTATTATTCAAGTTGATGCTTTCTATTCTGAATTTATTGTTCTGAAGATTGCTTGTTACCTGCTGTCATTATTTAAAGAACCAATAAGAGGAAGAAATTAAGTGATCTTAAAACGTGGTAGAACACTCAATGATTAATCCAAGATGGATATTAGTCGCATTTTTCCTATGGCAGTCAATGTCTGCTTAATGACACAACACTGATATGTTCTTGCCGAGATACAAAATTCCCTGTTTCATCCTTCGGACAACTTAGCGTTATGTGCGTTTCTAGTTTTCTGAACTAAAACAAAACAATTGTTCAACAATCACTGTTAATTAGTAGTTTCAGTCGATGTTATCTGGTAACGGAAATTTTCAAAATATTTATCACATTTAATCATAGAAATATTGTTAATTGTCTAACATCACGTACACATTGTCATCTGTTGTTTCCCCAAAATTAAAAAAAGTTTAGATAAATAACTTGAGAAAATAAAACAGATTTCCTGCGTTTATAGAATGTTTTAATACTATATGTATTTATCCTTCGTGTTTAAGATCGAATGGTTAAGTTATTCCACACTAGTGTATCCGTGCATGGATCTTTAAATTATATTTAGTTCTTGGGAACAAACAAGTCTTCTAAAACTGAACCTCAAACTACCTTCACTATTCAAACTCTACATCAAATCCAGGAACAGTCGTCACTAGCTAAGGTCTTGGAATCTCGTGTCGTCGATGCAGACTGTTTCTCAAACAGGATCATAGCGTGGTCATTCATTCGACCTCACCTAACCAATATCGAGAGCCGACGCTCTATACCCTTCGTGTATCTAGAGACGTGACAGTGCATGTATAGTGAAAGCCAGAGCGGCTTATGCCAATCTGGGCCATCTTTGGCTCCTTCGTGATGTTCCTGCTTCGGTTTGGGCACCCGGGCAGTATCACAGCCCTCACACAAATCAATTGAGATTTGTGTGGCGCATATGTATTTGGTGCCTCCCTGTACCTATACTTATGTGTTAAAATATATATATATATATATATATATATATATATATATATATATATATATATATATATATATATATATATATATACCTTCGTGATGTTAGTCTGGCTGTAAAAGGTCGAATCTACAACGCGTCAGTGAGAGCAGTTCTGCTCTATGCTTGTGAAACCTGGCCTCTCTGACTTGAGGACGTTGGACGACTCTCTGTGTTCGATCATCGCTGTCTCCGAAGGATTGCTGACATTCAGTGACAACACCATGTTAGTAATGCAGAGGTTCGGCATCGTGTGTTCGAGCACAGAGACGATAATGCAATTGGTGTCACCATCTTGAAACATCGACTTCAGTGGCTCGGACATGCTCTACGAATGTCGTCCTAGAGAATCCCTGGCTGGGGTGCGTGAGACGGTGCAACACAGTGGCTAAAGACGTTAACAGATATGGCTCAGCATAGAAGCCAGTGGTGATCCTGCTTTAACCTTCTTTTGCTTTCTTCGTAAAAAGTGGTTGCTTTTTCTTTGACTGAAAGATTTCCTCTGATTGTACCTTTTCTTTTCCCCCATTATTATTACTATTACACTACCTTACACTAATCTGTTCGTTATTGTTCTTTTTTTACTCTCCTTACCCTCCTTTCTTTTTTTCCCTTCTCTTCAAATTCTCATTGTTTTGTGTGGCGCATATATATTTGGTGCCCTCTTGTACTAATATTTATGTGTTCAAATAAATAAATAAGTATACCACTAAGTTCGAAAGCCGAACAAACACTTCTCGACTGGATTCCTGTAGATAGTCTCTTAAGTGCTGTCCACCTTAATGCCATAGTAAGAACTCAGTAAGACAGAGATACTCCATTGCGTCTTCATCATTTGTATTTATGCTCTCACTAATCGTCTCACATGAAGTAAAAGATTCGTTTTACAGGATACTTCATGACCTCTTTCAAAAAGCCAAGTGCTTAGACATAGTTATTGTAGCAGGCGATTCTCGGCATTTAACTTGCGTCACTTGTAGCTTAGGCAAGATATCCATCTGCCAAACAAAGGATGTGTAAACTGTTCTACTTTATAACTATCAAACACGGTCTATGAAATTAAAAGTCATAATTAGTATGAATGTTTTTTTATCATTGATGTCTTCGAACTAATGCTCGCTTTTTGTGGAATGACCGAGTGAGCAGTTAGTAAATTATACATGAGGTAAATCATTTGGTGAGTTTGTAAATCTTCATCGACTGAGATGGTTAGGACATTTTTTTACAAATCCCTAACCACCGAATACCTCAACCTGCGGTGCTTGTTAACCAAACCAAGACAACATTGATTTATGATGTGGTCATCGATTGTTGGTTTGAGCCATCCAGACTACCTGGTTGTGGTCCACGTGATAATCCCGATTAGTGGTTAAAGACTATAGGTAATATAAAGAGGAAAAAATGTATTTGTAAAATCTCAGCGAATGAATTCGAAGTAAATCCAACGTTTCGCCTGGCAATCTGGTTCAAGCTTTTTCAAGGAAACTATGAAACTATTCGTTCAAATTTAGACAAAAGTTCTTATTTATAGGTAGTATTGTTCCGGGTTTCTCACAGTGGTGTAGATACATTCATTCTATCTTTACTTCAATACTCCGTCGTACATACCGTACCACCCTGTCTTTACGACCTATGTTCCCAGCTTGGTATAAAGTAAATGAAATACGACTAGCGCCTGAATCCAGCACGCGCGTTTTGTCTTTTTTGGGATTAGTCAGCTGAAAGTGTTTGCTGAAGTATTTCAAATTGAATTGTGTTCACAACGTCTTATCTTTCTTACTATCATTGGTTCTACATTATTTAAATCTCTTTCGTTATTCATCTGGTTATTTGCGTCTCGCACTAATGTGGTGTTGCGACTCGAGTCAACGCGCAACTCTGTAAGGTTCTATGTCGATGTCTGTTTGTTTATCTGGTTTGATTGTGTTGTGTACCAAAATAAAAAGATTGAGTAATTAACTTAACTCCTTAAGTATATTATTCCTCACGTTCAACGCCTTAGTTATATTTTATTATATTGTCGTTCACTCCATATTTTATGTAGTCTAATATAAGTCAAGAGTTGTCGAAAATTCGTGACGAAGCAGGAGCAGCTTGTAAACGTCAGCTTCATCCATCAAACTCACCACTTGTCATGGCTCAGTCAGGGTCAAAAGGTACGTTGAGCTCTTTCCTCCTATAATATATGGACGTCTTGTATTGGTTAGTGCGCCAAAATTCTTTTTCCTTCATATTAGCAATCCTAATTTAAATTACTTATTTTGTTCTTTTAGGTTCATTTCTCAACATATCTCAAATGATTGCTTGTGTTGGTCAACAAGTAATTGGTGGAAAACGTGTTCCAGATGTCATTAATGGACGCAGTCTAGTTCATTTCCCTCCAGGTTCACGAACACCTGAAGCAAAAGGCTTTGTTGGAAATAGCTTTTATTCAGGTCTTTCACCATCCGAATTCTTTTTTCATGCTATGAGTGGTCGTGAAGGGTTGACTGATACTGCTGTAAAAACTGCAGATACAGGTTATATGCAACGAAGACTGGTCAAGGTATTTTTACAGCATTTCAGATAATCTTTATGATAGTCATTTTGTAGGTTTTTGTTATCATAATTAAAAAGTGTCAATGTAAATGCATTGGCTGATTATTTAGTTTTATTGTAAGTCTCATCATAGCACTGTGTGATGTGCTACTTATCTGGATAGATATAAGTAGTATGCATCCGGAATTGAAAGTAGGTTTCTTACTAACAAGGGGAAAATGAGAAGAGAAAGAAAAGATTTACTCTACTCAAATCTTTCAGGCTCTGCAACTCTTTCGTTGATCTTTAAATCACAGACTGATTCAAATATTTTTCTACTATCAACAATTGTTTGACGGGTATCATATCGTGCCGGGACCTATCATCTTGGGATTTATTAAGATTCTGCAATTCACTGATTAACCGTAAAATTGTTCGTTAATTTTCACTGAATTGAACATTTTGTTTCATTAAATATTATCCTGTCCTCAAAAGGATTGTACTAGGGATACCACTTTTATAGTCATTTATATTATACTAGGAAATGAAATAAAGGAAATTGGTGCTTCGATCATTTATCTATTTTACTGAAACTTCCATGTACCTGCTGCTTAATGCCATAAACATTTCATATTTCCCATATATCAGATAATTGTATTTCCATCCTCTCTTTATATACGGATTTTATTTCCTTCTATATTTTTAAATAGTTTCTTGAAGATTTGGCGGTGGCTTACGATGATACTATACGTGATAGTCGGGGCGATATAATTCAATTTCGTTACGGTTCCGATGGCCTGGATCCTTTGGAAATGGAGACAGATACATTTCCTGTGAATTTTATCAAAGAAATGGAACATATAAGAGTAATATTTCATGTCTACTTGATTATTGTTCTTTCTTTACTTAGACTAGTTATGATTGCCCTCATGAAGTTGGAATGTCTGCTGAAGAGTTAGAACTAGCAGTAGAGGTTGTCTTTCAACTTGATGCATTTCGACATTTAGATAGTCGCTTATGTTCAGCAATCAAGTAAGTCACGTCAATGTCTTCCATTTTTACTAACCTTTGTAACAAACTAGTTTTATTTCATACTGTTGTAGCACATATTGGTTTTAGTTAATCATGTCTGATTCAGTTGCCACATGTATTTTCATGAAAAGTTAATAATAGATAATAACATGTAGTTAGAAAGTAACTTCGCAATTTCTTTTGCGTCAGAGTCACTGACTTTGTTACTTTCTATGCGCTCATTTAAATTCTGTTCTACTATTTGTCGACCTCTGCCAGCGTTTACCTCGGAAAAAGATTGTTATCATTTAAGTCGAAAATATGATACTGCCATGTCAACTGTTTCGTCCTCACCACTGTATTCATTACACTAGTCAGTTTTTGAATAGTAGTCAATTTTATGTTGTTTGGTCCTTACTGTTATGATATAACGGATGGTTTGAAATATTTTCTCTCTCTCTTTGCGGTCCATTTTTTGCACCGTCGTTGTGTGCTGCGTTTCCGGAACTCGCATACAGAATTCAAGTAGCGTTATTCATTTGACCTCACCATATTTCGATTCACGCTCCATATATCTGGAAGCCTTGATACTGCTTCCCGTGGCCTCGCTGGTGTAGGTATAGCATTGAGCCCATGGGCAGAACTAGCTATCTTAGACCGGATCCTAGTAGACAGTCGTTTGTGCGCTGTCCGATTAAACGGAACAGTAAGGAGTCGGAAAGATAGGGAAACTTGTCGTTGCCTCTTCGTTGTCTCTGCCTACTATCCCACTGACTGCTGCTCAGATAATGTAAAAGATGAGCTTTACAGAAAGCTCTGATGTAGGGAAAGACACCTGGGTGGATCTTATGATATTGCGGCTCAAAGAACTAATAATGGTGACCGTCTGTTACAGCTATGCTCAGATAACCTGTTTCTTGCAAATACTAACTTTAAACATAAGGAAAAACATCTTTTAACATGGCGACCTCCTAATTCGTCCCAACGTTGGACCGAAATAGGTCCAATGATCGTGAACAGTGGTGGGTAGCGAAAGCAAGAGAGATGGAAAAGGCAGCGGCAATAGGTAACAGCAGGCAACTGTTCAGACTTGTTAAGGAAACCGGTATTAGGAACCCAACTGTTAGCGAAATAATCTCCGAAAAAGATAGACATATTATACATTCTCAATCCAGGAGATTGGATCGATGGTCAGAACACTTTAGGGATCAGTTCAATTGGCCTTCAGCCACACTTCGGTTTCTCGTGATCTCTAGTCGATCTAAATGGCAAGTTGATGTAAGACCCCAGTTCTTTGCGAAGTTGAAAAAGCTACAGGAAATCTGAAGCGTGGGGGAACAGCAGGCTCTGATAGGTTTACCCCAGAGATTTTTAAGGATGGCGGTCCATTATTAGCAGCGAGATTGACTGAGGTCTTAGGTAGAATCCGGGAACTGGACGTAATCCCATCTGACTGGTCTCAATCACTGATTGTGCCAGTTTATAAGACTTCTTGTGACAATCACAGAGGAATCCGTTTGACTAAAATAGTGTCTAAAATATTAGCTTCAATAATACTTCGACGTCTAACCAAAGCTCGTGAAGAGCAGACTAGAAAAAACCAGGCTGGATTTCGACTTGGACGTGGTTGTATAGACTAGATATTCACACTACGTCAGGTCCTAGAACATAGACACACATTCAGACGCCCCACAATGGTAGTATTTCTCGACCTTAAGGCGGCATTTGACTCTGTTGATTGTGAGGTTCTATGGCAGTGTCTGTCACTGAAAGGAGTATCGAAGAAGTACATTAACCTTATAAAGGCTCTCTACTCGAACACCGGCTACCATGGGACTGCATCTCCTTACGATGCTACACTGCCTTGTGGGTCAGACGTTCAGGTCGAAGGCTCGGGGTGTGGCCCACTAAGAAAACCACCTGCTTCAGTTTGGGGACCCGGGCAGTATCACAGCCCTCATACAAATCAATTGAGATTCGTGTGGCGCATATGTATTTGGTGCCTCCGTGTACCAATACCTATGTGTCAAAATAAATAAATAAATAAAATAAATAATAACTCGAACACAACTGATCGACTGAGAGCTTATGGCGAACTTTCATCTTCAGGGCTGTCCACTGCATTCTTGTTTAAATTTGTCGTTGACGTGCTTTTAGAGGTGACACTTTCCTTATCTAAATTTCCAGAGGTTGAACTTTTACCGGGAGATTACCTTGTTGACTTAGAATATGCCGACATCATAGTTGTATTTGTAAGTCTGATCAGCCCTAATGGGTTGGTGTCTGACGAAATCTCAGCACGGATTCGAAAAGCTCGTTTGGCCTTTGCCAACTTACGTCATCTATGGCGAAGGCGAGATATCCGTCTATCAATTAAGGGACGAGTATACTGAGCGGCAGTTCGTTCCGTTCTACTATACGGCTGCGAAACATGGCCTTTAAGAGTAGAAGATACTCGTAAGCTACAAGTATTTGACCACAAATGCCTTAGAAATATTGCTCGCATCTGTTGGGATCACCGGATAAGTAATAGTGAGGTTAGACGCAGGGTATTAGGAAATGGTGGTAAATCAGTTGATGAGGTTGTGAATCTCGATCGACTTAGATGGTTGGGCCACGTGTTGTGTATGCCTGAACACCGATGACCACGACGCGCAATGCTGACCAGTGTTGGGGATAATTGGAAGAAAGTTAGGGGCGGCCAAACCAAAACATGGCATCAGTGCTTGAAGTCACTAACTTCTGGTCTGAGCCATGTTGGTAGATGTATGGCCGAGAGTGGGGAGAGTCCGCTCTCCCTCTCAAAATGCTGTCACATGGGCAGGCGTATATAGCCTCTGCCAGGGAATTCCTACTCACTGCCTTATCGTGGCGTGACTATGGTAACCAACGGTTGGACTCTTGGTGACATGGCTTAGAATCGATCACAATGGAGTAGGTGTATATACTCTCTGTCTTCCTTTAAACAAAGAGAATAAAATCTCTTCATATATTTCTTTCTACAAACTAATTCTTTCTTCCTGCACTATCTCCTTATACACACTCTTTCTTCTATATATTACTACCATTGAAGTAAATACTTCTATGAATTTGGTGTTCATCTTGTGCTAATGAGGTGTAGCCACTTGGACCGATGCATATATGTGCCTGGTCCTACGTTGCAACTGACTGACTGACTGATTTGGTGATGACGCTGACAAAATGCAGATTCTTCTGACTACTCTTAGCAACAATGCAAGCATGTTCGTGATGCGATTCTACCCCCTCGAAATGCAAAATACTGCTTCAAGATGGGTTTCATTGACACCTGATCTAATGATAGGGAGTGAAGTAGTTAATAGTGTCGACCGCTTCACATATCTTGGGAGTTTCATCAGCCTTTGTTGTCTGATGTTTGACGAAATATCTGCACGGATACAGAAGGCTCGACTAGCTTTTGCCAACTTGTGCTATTTATGGCGTAGGCGAGATATTCGTCTATCAACCAAAGGACGTGTTCACTGCGCAGCAGTTCGTTCCGTCCTACTTTATGGCAGTGAAACATGGCCAGTAAGAGTAGAAGATATTTGTAGGTTCCTAGTATTCGACTATAGATGTCTTCGAAACATTGCTCGTATATCTTGTGACCACCGAGTAAGTAACTAAGTTGTTAGGAACCGGTACTAGGTAAGGATGGTAAATCACTTGATGATGTAGTGAAACGTCATCAGTTGAGATGGCTGGGACACATGTTACGTATGCACCGAATCTATCGCATCTCTTTGTCTAACGTCTATTAGTCTCTTTTTTGGACTAGTTCTATGCTAGTCAGTGTAATCCCGCCGTAGTCGGTAGTTAGGCATACATAACACATGTTCCAACCACGTTTCAATAATTGTTCACAACCTCGTAGGTCGATTTCTTCGAAGATACCCATGATCAACCTGTGCATGTCATTTACCTAGAAATGTAACAACCATTAAGTAATTTAGACAAGGCTCCTATCCAATAGACTCCTTTTAACATATGTGAAATACTACTTTTTTTACAGCGCGAACATGACTATGTAATATAATGATTCTAAGTGTAATTTTCATGTTTTAATTTATAAAAAAATGATCTATTCCCTTTTTGTGTTGTTTTAGAGAATTTATACACAATTCAGTTTGTCCGAAAATCCGTAAATGGCAAGAATGGTGTACAGAAAATGCAAATGGGTCAAATTTAATCAACCAAAATGAACGTCTGACTAGAACACAACTACGTATATTTTTGACACATGTTAAAGAGAAATATGAGAAAGCTTTAATTGAACCAGGTACAGCTGTTGGTGCATTATGTGGTCAATCTGTTGGTGAACCAGCTACGCAGATGACATTAAAAACATTTCACTTTGCTGGTGTAGCCAGTATGAATATTACACAAGTAAGTTGACTTTTCAGACCTAAATTTTCTACTGTCTAATATTTTTTAAACCATATACTTAACTCGATTCATCGCATATCAGAACATGAATGGAAACCGAATGAGTATATCTTTTGATTACTTAAACTACAACGATACCAATACAATTCTTCTAACATCTTGATCCATTCACTAACTCTAAATGGTTGGAAAAAGGACAATCAGCTAGTCGCGATTCGAGCCTTCAAACTTATAGATGATTTAACAACATCAGATACTTTCATTTTATGTTAGGGTATTCTTCTATTAGTTAAATAGATGCGTTTTTAATTTCTTGATCATCTTTTAAAATTCTTTGCTTGATTATTATTGTCTCACAATGTGAATAAGATAACTGTAACTTATTTTTGTTAATTATGTATGATTTGCATCGAGAAAGATTTAGTTGGTGTACAATGAAACAAAACGGGTCTATTCTAATGATATTTGCATTTTGTCATTTCAATAGACAATCATATAGCCAAATTAAATAATATTTACTTGAGTTATGTGCTCCAACTACATTTTTTATCAAAACTATGTTAATCCTTTATGCATGGTCTGGTCATTAACTAGTCACGTGCACTCTGCCGACTAGTATTAGAATAGGTTTCAAAACAAAACTTGAGGCGTTGAATATCTATATATATTTTCTTTTGACTGATTCATAACTAGATTGGATGATTTATAAGATATCTTCATTTTTTACTTTCTTTAAAAGGGTGTCCCACGTATGCGTGAAATTGTTAATGCAGCAGCCAAAATTAAAACACCATTGATATGTGTTACTTTAACTGATCCATTCTCAGCATCACTAGCGCGTCAAGTTAAATTGTCTATTGAACCAACACGACTAGCAGATATATCATTATCATTAAATCAGTGTTTAACACCAGAATATGTATATGTTGCTATTAAATTAGATAAAAAACGAATGGATAGACGTGGGATTACAACACCTCAAGTGGCTACAGCTATTCAAACTACTAAGTTAAAAAAGATCAAATTATCGGTAAGTGTTGTTCACTATGATTATTGTAAACAATCTAGATTTTTTCAGTTTACTCTTAAAATAATAAGAGTACTTCATAAATAACCTCGTTTTATTTTAGTACACTTTCTCTAATAAAATTTCAAGTTAATTGGCTGAAGGAACTGTCGTTTTTAATCCATCTCAGGAAGTGACTGAAATTGAAAAGTATTCGACGCTAAGTAACTAACCTCATTTAGTGAAAAGAAGAACTTCTACGAAAATTCAGCCATCATTGTTTGGTTTCTATAATAGTAGAGTTTTAATTTCAGTGTTTAGGGACTTTAATTTTAATCACTTAGTACATGAACCCCGTTGCACCTGCTCAAGTTTTGTTTTACTGAATAATATCTTTAATTGCCACATAAATATGTCTCATAGAATAGTACTCTGATATGTAACAAAATACTCACTGAATTAGTATTATTATTATTTACATTGATAAGAAGTGCTTCTGTATTGTTGTTATTTCCTTCAACATTTTTTCAAGGTGTAATAGACTATAGGTAATTTTAAAAAAGGGTATTCACCATTTTTGTTATTATCTACTTGATAGCAACTCATAAACCAGCTTACAATATCTTCCTCTTCTTCATGTATCCTTCATTTAGCGTGTAACCTATTCAAAAGATTATATATTTGTATATCCAGTGGATTTAAATGCATTGGAAACAGTTGTCAAATTAGTTGAAGATGTTATTGTCAAGGGCATACCTGGTGTATCTCGTGTTGTAATTCAACAGGATAAAGGTGAACATAGAGTTTTTGTTGAAGGAGCTCGATTACGTGAGGTATGTTTTCGTAATGTAAGAATTCCATTTATTGCAAGACAAATTTAACGAGTTTTATTGTTTACATTACACACTGATCTTAGTTAGTCAACCGTTAAAAACCAATTGATACTGGACAACTGCTTCGTCTTTGTATAGGACTATTCAATCCTTTACTAAGCCGAAATAGCTCTTCAATGCTTGCTGGACTCCATTGGTTGACTTACTAGGATAAATTAAAAGATCAAAAAATTTCCAAAAACTCCGTTTATGGATAAAATTTAACGAGTTTTTTATTAGTTTTATTTTCTTTCTGTGAAAACACTAAAAAATGTGCCTTCATATGTTAGTTTGGTTTCCTTTCTGATTAATTCTTTTTAAACTGAATATTCATCTATGTTTAGATGAGTTATCTATTATGTTTGTGCTAACCCGGTTAATGTAGTTTAAAAATTAGTGAGTGATTATTTTAAACATAATTGGTAAATAAAAATTCAGCTTAAAAATATAACATCTCTAATCCTTTCAAGTCATTGTTTTCTTGCTCCTCTAGTATGAACCGTCTTTTTTGTTGTCATGTTAACATAACCACTGCGTGGTTGGAAGATGACCCACAACATTGTAAAAAATGACATTAATATTTAAGAACTATCATAACTCGGCGTTATTTCTCTTTCACTCACATGAATAGTTCCTTTCTACTGCGGAGTAGTGGTTTTTATTAATTAAAACAGTTGGAGTTTAAGTGGTAGGTGTCAGATTTGAACCTTGCTCCCACTGACTTCATTTTAGGCTAATGAGAGGTATTGTCACTATCCCTATTACACAAACTTACATGGCTTGAAGCTGAATGAGAGATTCCTTTAGTTGGTTAATAAGTTACAATCCAATTCAACGCTTGTTACCCTTCACGGAGGAGCGTAGGCCGCTCACAAGCATTCTCCATCTAACTCTGTCCTGGGGACTCTTTTCCAGTTGCTATTCATCCCTTTCATGTATGCTTCCCATTCCAAACGCAGTGTGTTATTTGACCTTCCTCTTTATCGTTTCCCTTCAAGATTCCAAGTTAACGTTTACCTCGTGATGCAGTTTAATGATTTCCTCAATGTGTGTCCTATGCACTTCCAATGTCTTTCCCTGATTTTCTCATCAGCTGGGAGTCGGTTTTTTCTCTATCACAATTGTTTATAAATACTTGTGCCTTTTTGATGATGTTTGTGGTAGTTTTCCAAGTTTCAACTCCGCCCACTAGGACTTTTTTGACGTCCGTATTGAAGATTTTGACTTCGATATTGATTGACAGTTGTTTTGAGTTCTATATGTTCTTAAACTGTAGGAATGCTATCCTTTCTTTGCCAATCCTCGTCTTCACGTCTGCATCCAATCCTCCTCGTTCATCGATGACGCCACCCAGATAGGTGAATTTTCCACATCTTCCAGAGTTTCTCCATCAAATGTGATTGTGTTGGTGTTCTCTGTGTTGGATTTGAGGATCTTGGTTTTCCCTTTGCGTCTGTTGAGGCCTACTGCTTCTGGTGCTGCTGCTACACTGTTTGTCTTGACCTGCTTTTGTTGTGTATGGAATAGTCCAAATCGTCTAGTTGCATTCAACCTGTTCATTTTATTCCGTGTTTCCCCTCCGATGTGGTCTTCATAATTCAGTTGACCGCCAGAAGAAAGAGGAAGGGCGGGAGAGAATGCAGTTTTGTCTTACTCCGGTCCTTACTTGGAATGCGTCTCTCAGATGTCCTGCATGCACGACTTTGCAGTGTAGTTCGTCGTAAGAATTCCGGATGATGTTGACGCTTTACTCAGGTACTCCATAGTGTCGAATAAGTTTTCATAATCTATCCACACTGAAATGCTTTCTCATAATCAAGGAAGTTGATATATAGTAACGAGTTCCATTCAGTTGACTTTTTAACTATGGCCCGTAGTTTCGCAATTTCGTCTGTGCACGATCGATCCTTACGGAATCCAGCTTGTTGATCTCGAAGTTGGGCGTCTACTGAATCTTTCATCCGGTTCAACAACACTGTTGAAAACCTTTCCTGGTACTGACAGTTGTGTGTTGTAATAAATTACATCCATATTTAATTTTCTATATTTAAACAATTAATTAATTAATAGAGATCTTTATAAAAACTGATTGCAAGAATTTGGTGATATGCTTTTTCTTCGTTTTAAAGAATTTTCCTTTCGTAAACAGTGGTTTTGTTAGTCTTTTTTTAGTTCAACAAAGTAAATTATTTTTCTTCAAGGTAATGTGTATACCAGGCGTCGTAGCTGAACGTACACGAAGTAATAATATTTTAGAAGTGGAACAAGTGTTGGGTGTGGAAGCAGCTCGACGTGTTGTTATTGATGAACTACTAGCCGTTATGGAAGGTCACGGTGTCGAAGTTAATGTACGTCATGTAATGCTGTTAGCTGATGTTATGACTAATAGGGTAAGTTTATCTAATATGTTGATGAAATGATGGTGATAATAAGTTTGAATGTTTCTCAAATTAAAGCAAATTCTATTGATTGACTCACGGATAAATATTAAGAGGAATTCAATGGTTTCAATACCTTAGATTTGTAGTTAAGTTAGAGTTTAATTATGTTGCGAAATGTCTTTTATATCTCTTTGCAATTTTCAAAGTAAATGGAATATACCTATTGAGACGTAAAAATGCGAAAGATTGGTTCAATATAGAGTTCTATTTTTTGCGACTTCATTCTCAATTCTGTATAATCTCAAATATGTTCTTTTTCAAAATAATAATCCAATAATGTGCCTGTTAATAAACAATAATGGTGATGATAATAATAATTTCTCAAACATGGTAACATAGGGCTAAAATAAACAAAAGGACAAGATGTTATTCTCATTAGGAAACTCAAAATGGAGTTTAAGTATCCATCAAGAAAACAAATAAAAACCAGAAATTTGTTAAAAAGGGATTCCGTAGACGTGAAAAAATAAAATGACAAGGTTGAAATAAACATTTTAAAAAAGCATAAATATCAAAGCTGATCGATTGAGACCAAATTGTTGCTTGGAAAGTAGATAGGATGAAATACGATGGCTTTGTCAAAACGAGAGATTAACACCATGGTGGCGTCTGCTGGATAATTCTTTTTTTATACATAGTTCTGGTACTTCTAGGTATAAAACAAATGCTTCGGTAATGCTAAGAAGACCACTTTCTACTTACCTTGTAGATGATATAGAGTACTTAGTTTGTTTTAATCAGATCACCTGTGTTCACAAGGTGTTCGCTTATGGAGCTGCTTAAGGATACATTTCCATCTTTTTCAAACATGCCGGATAATGTTTTTGAATTATCTTGTATAGAACACACATCGGATGACCTATATATTTAGCTCGTCAGAATCAGATGAGTTGACTAATACACAGATGTGAGAGTTTATCGTTTAGTTTGTTCCTAAATATTTGAAAGCTGGGAAATACAAATTGTTGCTGCAAAGAACGTTGTTTTGAGAGAGTAAGAAATCTTTCGATAAGTAGGTTTCTTAGGAGGCTTAACTCATCATCTTTGATGATGAATGCATTGGGTAACAAATTTCGCACTAGAATTTGACAATAGACAAGCATTCACTTTCTAAATGTTGAAAAGACATGAAACTCAGAAGTCCCTACTAATAGAAAGAAAAACCTAGTAATATCGCTTGCTACACAAATGATGTTCTGGATTCACATAAACACAGAAGATATAATTTTGAGTAAATAAATATACTTAAAAGTACATCGTATTAGTATAGGTATGTCTAATGTTTGATGATTAGATCACTGTTCAAACTCTTGACTTTATAAGTAGTTGAGAGTTGAATGAATGGATTAATCAATCGTAATTCAACAAAAATACAATCAAACAATCCGTAAGTGTATAACTAGTTAGTTATTTTTTTATGATGATTGTTTGTCTTCAGACGTTATAAATGGCTAGCATTGGCATTTAGGATGTGTGTTTCGTTCTATTTGAGACTCGTCACTTGGAGGTACCTGTATCCAAGTGTTGATGTTCACTCCGGCACTCTGACCCAGTAATATTCGCTTCAAACACCATCTCATTATCCACTTAGTTACTTAGTCCAGATAACCACTAGCTTGTGCAATCTTTAGTCCATATATATTGGTTGTTTGGATCTTCTCACTTATCTGCTTCGGTTTGGGCACCCGGGCAGTACCACAGCCCTCACACAAATCAATTGAGATTCGTGTGGCGCATATGTATTTGGTGCCTCCTTGTACCAATACCTATGTGTTAAAATAAATAATAATAATGTTTTGGACCGCAATTGATCAATCTCTTTTGTACAAGCCAGTGGCTGTCTAGACTTTGTAGCTAATTAGATAATGCGATGGCATTTGAAGCGAAATATAATGCGCTCGATTACCGGAGTGAAGACAAACTCTAGGATGAAGGCACCTCCAGGTGACGAGTTTTAAATAGATCGAAAAACTCATCCTAGAATCCACTGCTAGCCACCATACATCTCTGCCTCAAGTGCCTGTGACCTACTGACAATATCGAGGCAATCCGCACAGGACGTGCATACGCCAAATGAGATTAGTCGATTACAGTTCTAAACATCAGTGAGAAAATCCAAACAACTAATATATATATATATATATATATATATATATATATATATATATATGTTATAATTCTAAATAACTCTCTTAATACTATTCACTTGACTGTCAAATGCTTTTATTTTCAGATGTAGAACTAATTATTCATTATTTGTTTGTTTTTAGGGTGAAGTATGCGGTTATCAGCGAACTGGAATGGCTAAAGCGAAAAATAGTGTACTTTGTTTAGCTTCCGTAAGTGTTATTTTACTTTTCATTTCTTCGATGTATATTTTATGGTTTCATCTATTTTAAATGTTATTCTAAAAAGTCCATTGTTTTTACAACCTACTTTAATGTAATAAGTAGTATTCGATTCCGTGCACAATAAAGTATGGAAATCAGTTTCAGTAATCTTCATTCACATTAGCTTCAAATGTTTTTCAATATAATGTCCTTGTTAAACTCGAATTTCGTCTTTTGAAATCCTCATTGTTCAATAGAAATTTTTATTGATTCCTTTTTATTTATAGTTTGAACGAACTGGTGATCATTTGTTTGAAGCTGCCTATCATTGTCAAGATGACCAATTGACTGGTGGGTGTTATATTTAAATATATTTATTTCTCATGATTTAATTGCTTTCATTCAGGTTTTGATAGTTTAGAAAATCTTTATTTAGTTGATAGTTGCAGAGGTTAGTTTAGTATTAAAACTGATTTGAATGTCGAACCTAAGCCCCAGTAACCCTGTAAATGTATCTCTGCCAAGTTATTAGTTTGTATTCAGCAGAGAAAGTAAATTAATTTTTATAAATAATACAACTCGTTTATGAAGTACATGCTTATGTACTTAGTTTTGTGCCACACTACTCATATGAAGGGTGATAATACTACACACTTCGTAGAGAACGAAATAGATGGAGTGGGCTTTTTTATATCTTGTGGTCGCCAACCAGAGGCAGCGAACTATCGATTGGACCAAGGACGCATGAAACACGTGCGAGCAGCCTAGAGTTCTGATTGGTCCTGCTTTCCGCCTAGCCCAGCTAGTTAAGTCCAGAACGTTAATCTCAGTCTCTGCAATATGAATCATGTACTTCAAACATACTCGGTTTATATACTAAACCAGCAGACTACAACGTACCATAAAATAGAAAATATCATTTGTACAAAACTTGGTCAAATATGGCTATGAACGTGGGAGGTAGTGATTAATAAACAGGGAATAATTCAAGAATGGAAAATCGTATAATAACAGTTCATAGGTAAAATAAAGCTTATGATAAGAGAGATATGAATATGAATAGTTTAGTCAATTAACAATTATGCGATGAAATATACGTATAGTATTGGTCCACAATGGGATCCGAAAAATTACAACTCATTATTCTTATCGGGGCATAACAGGCCTCCTATCCATGATTTGTCTGTTAGCGTAGCAAAAATTATCGCCTTTTGGTCACATTTCATTCATCCGTTCATTAACTGCTTGTGGTGGTCGGTGTTCGATATATTCCTTAAACTCCGTATACAGTTCGTCTAGGTAACCGTCTCTAAATAACGCTCCAACGGTATATTAATCAGAAGGCGAATACGAAGTGTTAATTACGTTTATTATGGGACCACACATAGATATCCAAAATTACAGATGCGTTAAGCAAGCATGAAATAGTTGTATCGAAAGGCAAACAAAAAGCGAGCGGGCGAGTACTGAATATGAATAACATGGACATATAAATACATAGTGAAATGAATGAATCATCGAGTCAATTAAGCGGTTAATAGTAAAGCTAGTAGCGTGAATAAATGCGTAGGCAGTAAGGCTTGCCGAGCATACATGTTCATACAAGCATAACAATAATAAAGGTACAATAAGTTATTATAGTGCAGGTGACTTTGTCCGTTTAATAAGTTAATAAAAGGACTTAACCGAATTAGATGAGGGCAAACTCGATTGAACGTGAGTTGCTATAATAGCTCCCGCAGCAAACAAAGATACAAAAGTGTCTGTGTTTGCGAAAAAAATGTCAAATTTAACAAGATGGGAAATATAGAAATTTACAAAATTAAGATACATGACAGAACTGTCGTATAAGTTATTAAAAATACGTGTAAGTTTGAGTTTGTACTTTGAACCAGTGGCTTTCGAAACCTTGATGACATTGGATGATACTGTCTTACTCAGGGGTCTACACTCACCAACAGTTACGACATCTCCAATATCCACATCTCTGAAGTAAGGAGATAAATGTACAGACATATTCTTATGTCGCTTCTCATATCGGTTGTACTTTTTCACGTACTTAAGGTAGTCCCGGCGAATAACAATAGTCCGATTCATCTTAGTTTTATGCACAACACCCATGAGGATTCGACCACGGATACGTACATTTCCAGTGAAGGGACACTTCTTGTCGATGTAACTGCCGAATATAGCCTCTTTTGGAGTTTTGTACCCAAGGCCTATGCTCTTGTAATATCTCCCACCATTCTTTCCTTTCACTTCTTGCTTTTGAAATGCATTTTCTGGCTGTTCAGCCATGCTCAGGTAAATTTAAAGTTTGTGAGATAATGTACGTATAATTAAATTGGTGACATAATAAATCCACAGTAATGATTATAATCCAAATGCTAGCTCGAATCGAAATAGAGTGCGTTGGATTTTCGGAGTTGGGTTACGTCGTCGAAGACTGATTCTTGCTCGCACGTTGGGATCACCAATTCTTGGCTTACCAGCCATCTCCACCGCGCTCCAATTTAGCTTCGCTTTCTCATCTTCGCATCGTTCCTCCGTTCGTTTGTCTAATCAACAATTATACAAAATATATGCATTCAAAACTCCATTCTCGTTATTTGACTTGTTTAATTCCGTTATTAACTAACGCGATTTAAGTCAATGATTATATACAAAGATAGGCGATAGCAATCATTCATACGATCAAATTTGAGTCAGATCTCGGACCACTAAATGCTCTTTTATTATTTCGAATTTATTAATTCAATTAATGATTTAGTATTTTCCTTGTCATTTATTTCGTTTACCTTGTTTTTTTTAATTGTCTAGGTGTTACAGAAAACATCATTCTAGGGAATCCAACCAGAGTTGGAACTGGAACATTCGATCTGCTAAGTGATAGATATCCTTTATTGCTTAAAAAATATTTGAGATTTAGTTTGAATTGAAATATTAAGGTCTTTTAAAATTTATTAGCAAGTGAATAATTTTTTTAATACGCAACTTAAGAACTACATAGAGGTTCATGTACTCCACTTTAAACGACAATTTGTCTGAGAATATAATGATGCAAATCTAAATAAATGTGGTACGGTGTTTCAACCTGTAATCAAATTGTTAAAATTACGGTTTTTCTATTAAGTCTAAGTTATCATCGCTTCTCACTCAGTTAAAACCGTTCACAAGATTCCTGTAAAATTACCATAAAAATATAATGTTGATGACTACTGAAAAAGGAATTTGCATCCCATATCTGACATATTGAACCGTATTATTGCAAGTGTTTATTATTAGTTCTAGAAAATTCAACGTTTTAACCGTTTGTTAAACTCAGTAGTCCTTGTTTGATACATTTTGAATGAGTCAGTGTAGTTTAGGCATAACGTCAATGTTTAATCTCACTTTGCAGGCTCATGTAATATTAAAATTAAAATATATTCAAATTGCTCTGGAATCACTAAGCTATTCTGTTATCTGCTGCTTACCGAACAGCTTGTATTATATTTGTGTTGGATCTACAAGACAGAACACCTATTCTACTCGCGTATCCAGAATTCATTTAATTGGATGAATAATTAAAAATATGTTAGGTTATCCTAAAAATGTATTTCATATCACTGATGTTCTTTTGGATCGCATTTATTATTTTAAATCATAAAATGATAGAGAAGGTAAAGTTCTATGCATGTCAAATTTTGTAGAACTTTGTCTCATTGGTTTAAACTCTTCACATTCAGCTAGTTATTTATAGTGTTAAGCTCTATTCTATTTCCAATCAATATGTTAAGTCATTAATTTTACAATTAAACATTACTGTTTCACATCCAACATGGTTAAATTTCACTATTAGAATTTCAGGAATTGAATCTTGAATCTAATCACTAGTGACCAGATAATCATTATTAGTACAATAGAGTTTGTAGAATTTTCATAGGTTAAATTATGAACTGTGATCTTAGTCTTGTCACTGTGGTAATTATCAGTAAAATTTAAAAATATAATTTGTCATTTCTCTGTTACTAATTTTCTATATATGTTTTAAAATAAAAATCGTTGATTGTTATAACCTTAATTGGATTTTGTTTTTAAACTATTATCTACATGGGAGAAAAATTTACAACTTGACATTAAACCAACATTGTTAAATTTTTAAAATAAACGAATTCTACTGTTTTGTATTTAATAATTTTTTTTCTCTTACATCATCGTCATGATACATTTCTGTGTGTATGTGTATGTGTACATAAAAATGATTTGACTTATTGTACAAATTTACATTTCTTAATCATCTGTTTATATTTTCGTTATTATTATTACAAAGTGTGAGAGAAAATTAGTCTCTCCCCCCCCTCTCTCTCTCTATACAATTTTCACTGGAATTCATCTATTGCCAATTTCATTTGTTTTAAAGAATCATTAAATAAAATGAAAAGACACTATGCTTCTGTCTATATTGTATCATTTGTTTTCTTTATATTAAATAGCTATTGAAGAAATTAAACAGTTATGTTATATCGTTTATTTTAGCTAAATGAATTCTATTCAATAATTCTTCACTGTAACTAACAAACTGAAGGATTTTGATATACTGTTACATTTTATTAAAGAGTACTTATTACTAGTCTAGTTCAAGAGATTTGTGATTGTAAATTTTACTGTTTACATAGTTGCTTAGAGTGGGGGAATGTAACAATAATTCGAAAAGTAAACCAATTCAGCACGTAACATTACAGCGACATTAAGAAGGATTTTCTTTTTGTTTTTGTAAATACTCACTGTGATAGCATTGATAATATTGGATTTAGAAGTGAATATCACTTGGAAATATTTTTCATTGAAAAACATTTCTACTGATCAACGTTTTGTTTACTTAACTTTAGTTAATTATAATACGTCGGATTTACACACAGTTTGTCATAGGTCTTTAACGAGTAAGGAAGTTATTGAGACTAAAGTAATTAAGACAGTATTTACCGTAAACAGGTATAAAATACGCAATTGTGAAACATCCTTGATTAGTATTAATATAACTTTCTAATATCCTTTGTGGGGAGAACATTGTGTTCGTCTGTTGGTATTTAAATTATTATGGTCATGCTCCATTAAACTTTATTAATTATGCATAATAATTTAAAGCTCTTTAACATAAGGGTTACAACTTTATGCATGGTTACAATGTAATTTCGTTTACTTTATTGAATCAGAATATTATAAGTAGAGAGTTTTACTATGGGCTTGATTAATTTAGCCTATCAGATTTGAATTTCGGTTACTCATTTATAAAAAATGGTCTCCAAGTCAATTCACCTTTATTGCCTATAACTCTGCATCTAACCTGAGTGCTACTTTATTGATAGTCTGACGACAAGCTACAAATTTGTGAAAAACATCTTAAATTATTCACTTGTAGTACTTTTTTTCACAGATGTACAATGCATCAGTGTATAGTTTATGGTAAGACCGAAAGGTATTTACAAGATAATATCAATAAAAATAAAAAAATTAACCATAGAAAGTGCAGCTGATTATGATAAAAGTAAACGCTTAATACTAAATATAATGTCTTGTTCGGTTTACCAACTTTCTAATAATTTACCAGTGTTCTATGTAATATAGATGCTTCTTTTCATATATTAACTCTACTCAAAGTATTCTCAATTAAAACCCATACAATTATTTAACGGTCCTTTTCTTATTTCTACGAATAACATATTCTTTATATGATTCAATACCAGAGTTTTGAAGAAATTCATCTACATACTGAGTTGGTATAAATATTTGTTCAGATTCATCAGAATTTTGATGCTCTTGAATGAATTGTGTTGAACTTTCTTTTATATTGCGTGGGTTATTTGATTTCTTCCTCAACTTAGACTTGCTTTCATGATAATAGGCTAAATACCACCCGACAGTGAATAGTATGAATAACAGAAAAATATCTAGTGGAGCCATGATTAAAGCAATAATACGCCATAATTCGATTATTAGCTCTAATTGATAAGTATATTTTCTAGGTATAATTTTCACGTGTACTTCATTTGTTAACCAACGAATATGGGGAATATCAGTTGTGAATGAGTGATTTTTATGAATTGATCTTTGAATCCAACACTGCCATGCTCCTGATTCCTGTTTCATAGAACTATTTAAAACAAGCCAATGAGCCTTCCAGTAGATTGATGCATGAATCTGTCCTGTTAATAAATTATGCCTATCTAGATTAGTTACATTTTCATTCAATTTAAACAAAGATGGATTAATAATGGGATCATTTTCAAGACTTCTATAAGATGGTTTTAACAGTTGAATATTAGAGTTTTCATTCATTTCAACAACCTTTGTATCATCAGATTGACCATATGGTATGAATTTCCAACCAATGCTCCAAAATGTCAGGTCTACATTATTCATCGTTAAAGCTGTTAGAAAAATATCTGCATTACATGGAGCTGAAATTTCCAATAAAGTTAGGAAAGGTCAGATACTGAAAATATATGAGAAAAAATCAATTCAAAAATAATCTTCATATATCCCTATTTTATAGTTTTAGACGCTAACTATCCGTGAATATTTTTCTCCTATCGAATGCCCTACTGCTCTTGAAATGATTTGCGCTATTTTTAAGATAATTTGTACTGAAAAGCGCTTTAAATACGTTTTGTGCATGTCTCTCCAGCATCCTTATGACCGATCATTATATGTGAATAGTGTCATTACCTAAAAAAAGGAAGAGATGGTTAGTTTAAATTTTACTACTGTAGGCTAAAACAAATTGGGTTAAGCACTTTTTAGAACGCTTCTCTACCCCTTGAGTTGAGCTATTCAATTTGATAGGTGTGTACGTTGTAAGATAATTCTTTCATGACAATACTGTATATCTCTTTTGTGACTGCTGTTTGCTTTTACATCATTTCCCTCGTTATTATGTTAGGTAGTTTACTTGAAAAATCTGTACATCCTAAAAGTCATTTTAGTCACAAATTGCTGTCACCTGGGAAACTAATGAAAATTATGGAATACAGAATGGTTGATGTTAATCTCGATCAACAAATGTGAACAAATTAATAATCTTTGAGCTAAACGCCTGCTATTTAAAACTCATCTAACCTCAGATTAGTTATTGATTATTGCTCTTTTTAATTTAAATCTCAACTAGAGAAATGTACCAGCCCTTTATTAAACATGAATGACCCTTTCATCGATTCATTTTATTGTGTCCCTACTCCCATTCGGTGGGCGTGCGCTTATAGTTCCTTTTGCAATTAACTACTATTTTGCGTTTTTGTACTATTTGTATTTTAGAAACAATTATTGGCAATATATTTACATGTTTTGATTATAGCCCTACTGAGACTGTATGTGTGATAGATTAGAGACTTATTCAGGAAACTCATCTGTTTGTAAGTTGAACTCAACAGTTGATGAACTCCGTTTAAATAATTTATGAATACGCAAATTACTATTGATACAGTGGGTTAATCGAAATTCACCAAATGAGAAGCCCACGCTGCACCAATCAAAAATATTTTAAATGATAAGTGCATGTTATTGGCCACTTAATTTTTTCACTTAGTAGCTGGCTTGAGGTTTTCATATAGGTAGTTTGTGTATTAGTATCAGTATCAGACATCGCGCGTCATAAGAGCTATGAATAAAATATCAGGGTGTTACAAAAAATAGTCAAAAAGACCCATCCCTTAAATCTACAAAATTTCATCCAATTCATACTGAACTTATTGATATGTGCAAACAAACGTTAAGTTATGATTTTATCGTTGTCTTAATAGAAAAGAATAGACAACCGAATGTTGAAATCAACTAATCATTGATTTGAAATACTCTGATTCTATGTCGATTTATTTACTCCCTGAGTTACTTTTAGTAAAGGATAACTATTTTAAGCGACTGATAATCTCTAGGCTATCTGCTCATGATGCACATCTGCCAACAGAGACTAATTTGCAGTTCTTTCTTTCAACAGTGAGAAAACGATTACACTTGTAATTAATTTTACACCAATTGGACAAGCTAATGTCTATTTGGACTTAGTATCTTGATGAGTAATTTATTGACGTATGAAATGGCAACTTCTGGGATCAAATCTCAAAGTGAACATCAACACTAGAATGGTCGTCCTGCCAACAGACGAATTACAAGCCAGAAAAATTCCTTTCTTGGACTTCACTCTTAGCCGCAATCCGAATTCACTAAAATAATGAATACATTTTAATAACCATTTATAGATTTGGCCTACCATGGAATAAGATACTGTTTACCCATCCATCAATTGGATAATAAACATTAAATCTCCATGGTTCAAATCCAGTTTTACAATAATTTCCATTCTCCATATCATCATCATCCTCATCTTGGCATTCTGGTGCTACTATAAAGTTAGAGTGAACTCGTACCATATGAATACTTAGTAGTTGAGTTTGTTTCAAATCAACTGGTGAATAACCAAATTGAATTGGATAGGTAACCACAACACATGCATAAACTCCAACATCAGTTGGATCAATATCGATAATTGATAAATATGCTTGACTTATTGATAAATCAATGTTGGGTATTTCCCAACGATTATTATCTAATGGATTGTAACTGCGTCTCCCATCACCTAACCAAGGATCAATAACATTTGTCCATGTGTTATGAATCCATAATAATGCCCATGATTTCCCTTCATTAGTTATGGTATTCCTTGCAATGTATATGTTTTCAATTTTACTATCACTTATTACACATGGTAAAGTAATCATACTACCAATGAATACATCATAATAAAATGGACCTTCCCAAGTTTTACTTGATAGATCGGTAGAAATAACTTCATTCAACTTTAGATTCCATGCTGATATATTATTATCCGTGTGTGTAGAAATTTCGTGATCATCTTTCATCTCTGATAAATAGAAATTTATAACAAACGAAAAGAGTAAAGCAATTAATCTATTCATTTAAAAGTATGACTATTATTTGCGTCTGATGATAATAATAATGTAAATTGAATCAGGAAATTATGGATTTATTAAATTGATGTCGGCGCAATCAATACAAATCATGTGACACAGTTTTAGTTCATAAACGATGAGATATTTAATTCAGTCAAATATAATTCTATTTATCTATAGTTTATATCAGAGGAAGGAAACCATTGCCAGTCATTAGATTTCATACTCATCGTAAGACAAAACACAGATACGTACAAGTGTAATCAGAAGTGAATTAACTTGAAATGACTTTGGGGAAATATAGTATTTTATAATAAAATATTAGAAAATGTAGTTTGAAATGTTAGTTCTATTTGCTTGCAATCAAGCAACATAAGGAACTTAGCTACGTTCATTTCATATCGTTAGACACATGAGCTATCTGGCGGGAAGTTTCTCACGAATATGACCACCAGATGGCAAACCATTTAAACAAGTTTTCAATGTGATTACTGTTCCTTTTTTGACATTGAGGCCACTATTGGTAATGTTTACTCTTAGTCAATCTTAACATAGATTATAGACAAGTCATTGAATTCACTAAACCGAATTTTTATTCTCTAGTGTATTAAAATATAAGGAAGTTTGCAAAAATTTAACTTAAAAGTAGTTTCGATATTTAAATTATTGAGGTATATCTTAAAGACTGTTCCAATATTTCGAAAATTAACTTACCCAACAACTTCCAAAGGTGTTCAGTTGCCAGAAGGGAAAGCAAAATTACAACGGCATTTCATTCAAGCCAAACGACTAACAAGCATACGATGAGCGAGATGAATTAATTATTATAGTTTAGTCAGTAAATATATAAGATGTCAGTCGAATCATCAAGCGCTTTGAGTAACTAATATTTAACCATATAAAAGAAAAAAATGAGTAGGCTGAAGATAGTAGTCAATCATACTTGCACAAGCATGAAGACAGATATACAAGACGGAAATAATTGGGGACTAAGACAGCACTGTCTTTCTGCCAAATAGGTCAACTGAAGAAGTCAGTCAATTTTAGTATACACCACCTCATATGAGGGTACCAGAAAGTTGACATGGTTATGTTTCAAAAATTTACCAGGTGTAACTAGGTATTTCGTTTGTGAAGACATGACTGATAGGTCTTATCTATACATACGTTATTATTTAATTCCGCCACATACAATTGTATTATGAGGACAAACAGGTAGAAGTTAAAGGTCAAGATTATTAAGATCACGTTACATACATGAAGATGACATGCGTAGTATCAGCAGTGTGATGATGAAAATATTTCAGTATATTGCCTATAACGTTTTGGATTATTTCAAACAACTGAGGACAATGAATAGAAATAAATATAAATGTTTTTTTGTTTTACAGTAGTAAATGTTTAAAATAATGAATCGAAAACGTTGATAAAGCCATTTTGAAAGGATGAAAGAAAGATATCAATGTGATCCATTTTTAAGGATATATGTTTCTCCAAAAATAATCTACAGGGTTAACTAGAGAGAAAATAAATGGATTTCCATATTCTCATGAAGCCATGAAGTTGTTATTTAAAAGTCCATTTCATAGATCCTCTGACATACTTCCATATAAGTGACATGGAAATTATGTTTGTTAGTCAGAAAAACTATTTGGGTCTCTGTAAAATTTTTAAAAGAAACGTGGTTTTGAGTCATAGAGACAAATTCGTATGCGTCGTAACATGAAGAAAAAAACATTCAGATCCTAGCAAATCACCAACCATTTAAGTGATATACACACTTATAATTTAATTATTTTGTAGTGATTGTCTTCTGATCAGCTAAAGCGAGATAAACTTCGTCAAGGTTGATCGTCAATGTCACTCAAGCTCGTTCTTGTAACTGCTTTTTTATTACTTACTTACGCCTGTTACTCCTAATGGAGCATAGGCCGCCGACCAGCATTCTCCAACCCACTCTGTCCTGGGCCTTCTTTTCTAGTTCCATCCAATTCTTGTTCATTTTTCTCATATCTATCTCCATTTCTCGGCGTAATGTGTTCTTTGGTCTTCCTCTCCTCCTTCGACCTTGAGGATTCCATGTGGGGGCTTGTCTTGTGACGCAGTTGGGTGCTTTCCTCAATGTGTGTCCTATCCACTCCCAGCGCTTCTTCCTGATTTCTTCCTCCTCTGGGATCTTATTTGTTCTCTCCCACAGTAGGTTGTTACTAATAGTGTCCGGCCAACAGATCCGAAGTATGTTGCGTAGACAACTGTTAATAAACACCTGTATCTTCTGGATAATGGCTTTCGTGATTTTCCAGGTTCCGGCTCCATACAGTAGAAATGTCTTCACATTTGTATTGAAAATTCTGACTTTGGTGTTGGTTGCCAATTGTTTTGAGCTCCAGATATTCTTCAGTTGTAAATATGCTGTTCTTGCTTTGCTTATCCGTGCCTTCACATCTGCATCAGATCCATCGTTTTCATCGATGATGCTGCCCAAAAATGTAAAGGTTTTTACATCTTCCAATCCCTCTTCGTCAATTGTGATTGAATTGTTGCATGCTGTGTTGTATCGAAGAATCTTGCTTTTCCCTTTGTGTATATTGAGGCCTATTGCTGCTGAGGCTGCTGCTACACTGATCGTCTTCTCTTGCATTTGTTGTTGCGTGTGCGATAGAAGATCCAGATCATCTACGAAGTCTAGATCATCCAGCTGCATTCTAGCTGTCCACTGAATTCCATGCTTCCTCCTAGATGTTGACGTCTCCATAATCCAGTCTATCACCACGATAAAGAGAAAGGGTGAGAGTAAGCAACCTTGCCTGATACCGGTCTTTACTTCGAACGACTTTGTCAACTGTCCTCGATGAACGATTTTGCAGTTTAATCCAACATAGGAATTCCGTATGTTATTGACTAACTTCTCAGGCACGTCGTAGTGTCGAAGAAGCTTCCATATTGTTGGCCTATCCACGCTGTCAAATGCTTTCTCGTAGTCAATGTAGTTGATGTAGAGTGATGAATTCCATGCAATTGATTGTTCCACAATGATCTGTAGAGTTGCGATTTGGTCTGTACACGATCGACCGGCACGGAATCCAGCCTGTTGGTCCCGATATTGGGCATCTTCGGAGTCCTTCATTCTGTTTAACAATACCCTGGTATTGAGAGAAGAGTGATGCTCCTGTAGTTATGACACTTGCTGAGATCGCCTTTCATTGGTATTTTTACCAGAAGTCCTTCTTTTCAGTCTTTATTCCATGAGTAATATGATAGTTTCTTCGTATTACTTGTTGTTCTTCTTTTTAAAACAAATCATGTTTAAGCAAAGAATTAAGGTCGAAAAAATTGGAAAACACAAAGTTTTAGTGTAAACGTGTCCACTATAATCATGTGTTTTCCATATTAGCTAATATGTATGTTACTCTACAAAAAAATATAGAAAACATCAACAACCTGTCACACAGAATTATTCTTGTTCTCATGAAAGGAATTATCAATAATTATTGAAACACTGATTTTTCATATTTCTTTGTTAAAGTTTCAGTTACATAATCAGATATATATTTATAACAATTGATTTCATTAATTTTAGTGTTTTTTTGTGAAGTACATTGATTCTATTATACTTTGTAATTGTGTATTTATAAAGTAACATTAATTTATAATCTTGATATCAAGTGGTTAAGGTTTCATTAAATCCAAGTTGGAACTTTTAACTTGAGTAAATTAATAATAATAGACGACTGCTACATCAAATATCATTTACAATGATAGGATTTTATTTTGATACTATGTCAACTTGATTTTACAGTCTATACATTTATGCAATAAATTTTAAACAGTTAGTGTAAATTGTTATATCCCAATCAGAATAATGAATGGTAACTGTTGGAATCTACTTCTAGACTAATACTATACATATACTTTTATTGTTTAATTCTTAAGTAACTAAATTATGTATATTCATATTTCTCTTATTATAAGTTTTATTATGGCCTATGAACTATTATTATACGATAAACCGTTTTTGAGTTATGCCCAGTTTATTAATTGCAGTTTCCCGCATTCACAGCCACATTTGGCTAGATCTCGTACAAATATGTATTTTCAATTTTATGGTACGATGTGGTCTGTTTGGTTTGTATATAAACTCAGTATATTTGAAATACATGGTTCATATCACGGAGGCTGATATTGGTGTTCTGGAAGGAAGCAGGACCGATAAGACTCTAGGCTACTCATACGGGTTTTATGTATCGCTGGTCCGGTTGACAAATTACTGTTCTTTAATTGGAGGTATCATTACGCTATACATTAATAGGACACAAGGTACAAGTGATAACATAAATGCGATGAATATTGCGGTGATATTCTGTCAGATGTCAGACCAACCTTTTTTAAAGTTTATTGTTCTTCACAAATTGGCATCAAATGAATTCATTCCTTCATAGAGTGATGATTATCTGTTATCAGTGTTCAAAGTAATTTGGAAGAGTTAATCAGAGCCTTTTAATATTTCACAAATAGCCGGCTAATATTAATCTATGATAAAGCTACTTTTATGTTACACATAACTATATTCTATACCGCACATTATTTTAATTCATCTTTTCACTGAATAAATCAATCTACCTATTAATAACTAGTAATTTTATGCGTTTTAATTACTTACAAGGTGGCATACATCTAAAATCCATTTAATTTCAAATGTGCATTCCCAGATATATAGTAGTATTGGCTAACCATAGATAGATATGGACGGAGAAAGTTAACATTCATATCTAAGATAATTTACCATACTGTTATAACGCTCAGTTTTCTTGTCTACACTAATAAGACGTTAATTTACCTTAGACAAATATCTACACTAGATATACTTCCATTGCTGTTCCACAGGACTTCAACACAACTCAGATCAAGAACATGTGACTAGCCTGACTAGAACGAAGTATATTTCCACACCAAAAAACCGACAACAATCACAATAATAATTAAGGTTGGAGAATATATAACTCCTC